TTATCAGTTATGTACCATGTAATTATGTAGTAGTAGCTTAGTAGAATGACAGTTTCTCTGAAAAGGGCACCAGCTTTTTTGTCATCTTTATAGAGCTGACGGTAGATTGTTACTATTGCAGTGGTAAGAAAATCCATTGTGGCATGTTATTTTTGTGGTTTGATAACCTGGAGTATTTTTCATTGATGTTTAGTTCATTAGTACATTCAGAGCAATCTGCCCTCTAGCTTCATCTGTTGGATGCTGCTCAGCAATCAGCCCTACTGCTCTGGTTTGAGATTTGCATAGCTTATGTTTAGTGACTTTAAGATCAGACTTTATCTATGACAGCTGCGTCCAAGTGTTGAGATTTGGGGAAGGCGGCTTTGTTTCAGTAAATATGATATTCTTCAGCTTCCAAATGCACATAAGCTGATGCATGCTAACATTTCAGGGAGCCTGCTGGTAGTTTTCATGGGAAATGGAAACAGGTTTTGGTGAGAGAATCCCTTGGAAATATTTACCAATATTCAATGCTAATAAAAATCTGTCTGGTAGGATGGTAAACTCTAACAGACCCTATAGCAGCTAACAGGTCTTACTCTTTTTCAAAACCTACTTCCTTGTGAAAAGGTTCAGATGACTTTGTGAATTTACCAACTGCCTGATAAAACAGTTTCATTCCCTTCCTTTCCTTATGGATTTGTATCATCTTAAAACACATTTAAATTGCTGTTATAGAATACAAAGCCTCTTTGGACAGGAACAATAATATACAATTATTTACTGTATGTTATATTTAGTCTTCCACTGTCCCCAGGAGAGATTGGGCATGTTAGACAGCATCCTGCAAATTTGGTACCTAGAAATCTAGAAAAAAGACCATACCTAATAGTTTTATCATTTGTTGTAGTTCAGTCGAGTAACAGTGTTCAGTTGTCTGAATTTTGTGGCATACTGTCTTCTGTTGCAACCTCCACCCATCTGGTGCTGTGAGGGGTGCTCACTTGCTTGGGTGCAACAGACCAGAGAAGACGAGAGCAGATGATCACCGAGTATTAAAGCACAGTGGGATGTCCAGGCTAGACGAGTTGATCAGAGGGTATCAGCTTTCAGCTTCTCTGCAGGAAGCTGCATAATGCTTTAACACTGCTGATTCTGTTTCTGCCTGCCTGTCTGGCTGCCTGCCTCGTTGTATGTGGGTGCATGTATGCCTGTGTGTGTTCGTATGCGTCCTCAGTTGGCTGTTACAGAACAGAAATAGGCCGGACAGACTTAGAGCTGTCACTTACACAGAGATGTATAGGTAGCTTCTTTAAAGTCTTAAGGAAGATAGCGAGAAAGCGAAGCTGGGCTTGGAGAGTGAGAAGTCCTCATGTCGAAAAGAAGTGTGTGTGTGTTTGTGTGTGTGTCAGATAAGAGGTGGCAGATTTGAGTGTATAAGCTTGCCTTGGTGTGTGTTTGCATGAGCCTCTGTGTATTAGAGAGGGAGAGAGAGGCTTGGATGGAAGGTATTTTTGACAAACTCAAGTCTCATGATGTTTTGAAGCTCAGAGCAGAAAAGAAGGGAATGAGAGAACGAGGGAAAGGGAAAGAAAACAATCACTCACAATCACAGGAAGAATTATGCGCCATGGATGATGGAACAGTTTATATCCACGTCTTTTCGATGTCTCTTACAAAGCCTCTACTGTATGTGTGAGAGTTGTGTACCCATTTATACACTAGAATGAAGAAGGAAACATTAATAATGTATTAGGAAGCCCCTTTAGACTTGCTGTCTGCTTTCTCTGCTCACATTTATGTACACACACACACACACACACACACACACACACACACACACACACACACACACACACACACACACACACACACACACACACACACACACGGTAAGAGAAAGAGGGGAGAGAAATACACAGTGAGTGAGAGAGGGAGAAGTAATCTTCTAGTGCCCTCGGGGAGGTGTCTAACAGTGATATGGGTGGTCAGGGTCTTTTCTAAGTGCTGCTGGGAAATGGAATGTTGGCTTCCAGTCAGTCAGGTGACCTACAGCTATTGTCACAGGGTCATGTGATCACATTATGAAAAAGAGGGAGACCGTAGAAGTAAGGGTTGCAAAGCACATACATGGATGTTTGTCAGTTAATGGGCCATCATCACTGAAGTGGTTGCTGCAGGACGAAGGGATAAGCTGTTACGGGCCCTAACACACACACACACACACACACACACACACACACACACACACACACACACACACACACACACACACACACACACGGATTCTACACACATTAATGCACTCAGAATCACACTGAGGCTTTCAGATGTTCTCTTTCTCTTGTAAGTCATATGATATAAACGAGGCCCCAGGTTATACAATATGACAATATGAGATCATCACCTCAGAGATTGTCCTGATCTCTGAAGCAGCTCTCAAGGTTTTCTAATAGCTTTATAACATTTCAAAAGACTTACGCACCGTGACCTGGCAGAGCCTTCAGTGCTGAGTTGTTGATTGGTTGGCGAGGTAGGCGTGGATTATCAAAGTAGGAATTCCACGTGACTATTTAGATATCTCCCTGATGTTGTTATGACGCTCAGTAGTACCTTCATATACCAGAATTTTGGGATTTAGTGGCACTGTTGGTTTAAACACCATGAACGATTGATGCTATGCTTTTGGTTCGTCTCAGATGGTTTGCACTAATGCAGTGGATGCTTTGTTTTTTTCATTTGTAATTCAATTGAAGTACTAAAAAACAATGCTGTACTGATTCACATTTCATTTGTCTGTGCTTGATTTAGAACATACATACATACAAACCCCTAACAGAATTGGAGGCAAGGTGCCACTCATTGGACCTCTTCTTAAAACTGGTTGCCATGGTGATAATCCTGATACTGTTGCCGGGAGTAGGTGTCTAACCTCCAACGTCTGATCTTGCATCACCTTAAAAATACTGTTGCGTCTTTAAATGCAACTTGAAAATAAAACTGACAATTTGTTTTGCTGTCTTTCTGAGTTTGTCTGCAGACCAAGCTGTCTGTTCGCCTGCATGTAATTTCATCCTCTAAAAGGGTCACAGACATTGTCATGAGCACAAAATTCAGTTTGTTGCAGGTTAATTGAAACATCACTTTTGATACTTGTTTTAATCTCTGGTGCAAGCTACTTGTAACTGCAGGTTATCTTGTGACAACGTGAACATACATGACCTGATAACCATTATAATCTTGAAACGTAACTATGTAACTACTAGAGTCACACAGGAAGCAACCATATATGGGCTTACATCCTCATCCCCTGTTTCTTTTTGGGGCAGTGATGTTCTGAATGTGTTGGCGACAACTATAAACACATACACACGCTTTAACTAAAACATGATACACAAGCCCCACAAACAATCTGCAGCAGAACTAATTGTTTAAAGGCACAAAATGAATGCCTATTAATGCATTTATTTTTAGCTTTTCTTCTTTTGTAATAAAAGCTTACATGTAAGTTGAATGCATGACACCTTTTACACACATGTTGTACAAATGAACACACACATGCACACACACACTACTTTACGAGGTCTGACCCGCCCACACTGCCCTTTGCATCTGTGTTTATTGAGGTATCAGTGGTAGAGCTGGAATGCCCATTAAACTCTGTGTGTATGTAGGGCTCTTCTGAGAAGCTAGTCCTCCACAGGATGGAAGAATGTTGAACGTAACTGTAGCTTGTTTTGGTCAAGCTCTCACTTGGTAACCACGACCACTACTAATAAAGACTCAGTTATAGCTTGGCGTCTGTGTTAGAGACTATGATGCACATCCAAACAACAAAACTATGAGGGACACAAGAAGTGGGATCTGTTACCTGAAGATTTGATGTGCATTTCAGGAAAGAATTGGGGGTGTTTATTGGGGAGAAGCCAGTGAGGGATCATGTCATCACTCACATAGAGGGCGGTGGTATTTGAGCATGTTACACCCTCCTGGTGGAGTGAAAGGCCTGTTTGTATCAGAGGAGAAACGCAGCTTACAACCTTACCCACTGTTAACTCTCGGGGAGTGACCACAGGATCAGAATAAAGGGGGAAATATGTAAGATTAAAAACACACACTAGTAGCTTACCTAATTTGGCCTCCTATGTAAAGTCACATCAGTTCATTTACAATTCACTTTTAGAAACTAGTTTGTCACAAATTACCTGTCAGAGAAATGAAGCATGTACTGCACTAATTAAAAAAGACACATCAAAATACAGCCTCGTACTCACTCTAAGGGATGTTTGTGGCTTCTTTGAGTTGAAAGGATGAAAGAGCCGTCTACTATTTTATCCATATCCACATCCTTTTCTCTAGTGAACTTGAATGGAATGTGGCACCATTTTCCTCTGATAGTACCAGGTTTCATATTATCTACAGTTGTATTTTAGTGGCATCAATATCATGGGCAATATTTTTTATTTTGGTTTTCGGTCACACCAGTGAAAAACACAAAAAACAAATGGGTGCGCACTTCTGTATTGCATTTATTTCAAACAGTGCTTTTGTTGTCGGAGCATTGACATTCTGAATTAATACTTAATAGTACAATGTCTCCAAGAAACACGTCCCGTGCCATGACAGGTGCATGGCCAGCTGCCCTTCCGCTTAAAATGTATTATTGGGTGCATCTAAATCATTTTCTGGTGCAGCTAAATTAAAAGGTTAGGCACACCTGTTCCACCAATGTAAAAAGTTAGTTCCTGTAGATATAAAATCATTCCATGGTTTTATGTTTTCTAAGCATTAATTATTTCTCCGCTCATTTCTCTTCTTTACCTAACTTGTTTCTTTTCCACCCCTCAAACCCTCTTTCCTCTTAATTTGATTCACTCACCATAATAGTGCTGTACTATTAATACATTGTGTTCTTTTTGTGTAAATACTTATTTCCTCTAGATTTCAGATGAACAATCTTTCCTTAGTTTTTATATACTGTATGTATGACTAATTTTCCTCTTCTCTCCTGGGTGAAGGATCGCAAGCTGTCCAAGTCAGAGCGTCAGCGCTTCAAAGAGGAGGCCGGGATGTTGAAGGGTCTCCAGCATCCTAACATTGTCCGCTTCTATGACTCCTGGGAGGGACCATGCAAAGGAAAGAAATGTATTGTTCTGGTGACTGAGCTAATGACATCTGGGACCCTTAAAACGTGAGTACATGAGAGAGAAAATACATTTTTCCAATATGTCAATTTAGTGACCTTGGTCGGGGGAAAACTGCATTTAGCAACCCAAAAGGAGTACTTTCTTTTCTGTAGTTTCTACCACTACCACTTCAGGTGACTTTAAAGTGTGAAACACAACTGCAAAAAAAATACACTGCTAATTGTTTCAAAAATGAACAAAAAATAGTTCAAAGTAAAGATGTTCAAATGTCAAGAGAAAACACACACACACTCTTAACCACCTCTTTTCCCCTTTCCTACTGATCATTATAGATATCATTATATATCATTACAGATCATGACTCACCTCAAGTTTTTTGTTGAAATGTAGAAATTACACACACACACACACACCTGTATCATTTTTCCTGTCAAACCAGTATGCAGTTTTTCCTCTATTTTCAACTGTTCAAATGGCCTTTCACTATGATGTCGTGAGAAGGATTTCCGTGCTGTATGTGTTTGTGTGTATGTTATGGACAGTATTTATATGACCATCTATGTACGTATGTTCCAGAATAAGGTCTCCTCATCCGATTGTATCATCTAACACACAAAATAATCATAGAAAGACTCCTTTCTGTGTGTGACAAACTGTGTATCTGCGGTTAGCATGTCAAAACTTTATTGCTGCCTGAGAGGAAATTCTTTATGAATGTCAGTCTCTCCCCTCAATCTCTGCTCCCCTCCCTAAAAATTCACTGTAGAGAATTGATGCATCTGTGGCTGTCATTGTCCATGCTATAACCGCATGCCTGTTTGTATAGATTAGATGTGTGTCTGTGGACGCAAATGTGATTGTTGGGCTCCTGACACAATGAAAGGCTAAAAGTGGGGTGTGTGGCACACAGCGTGCCAGTGCAGTGCTTCGCGGGACATTGGCCCACCTGCCAGCTGCTGCTTCTGCTGCAGATTCCTGTCATTCCTGACAGGGGTGGGGGTGGTGGGGGGGCAGACAGAGGGAGAGGTTGACGGATGACCAGACTGATGTACAGTTTTAGGAAGTGACAGAAAGAGGAAGAGAGAAAGTCAAACAGTCTGATAAGCTCATAGGCGGATAGATGCACAGATAGTCTGAACAATAGACAAGTAAATAACTAGATATCCAGTTTCAATACAGCTTGTGAATGACAAACTAATCAACCACCTGTGACCACAGAGTGAGGATATTAATCCAGCAGCACAGTCCTACAAAGGACAGTAGCGCCCTCCACTGGAAGACTGAAAAAGCTTCACAAATTTGTTAGCAAATGCAGAAGCAGAACAGATGCTCTCCATTCTGCATCTACCTGGCATGTTTCACACATAACAGTAAAATGAAGGAAGTTTAAAAAAGGGTTCTGTTTCCCGAACCTTTCTGACACTTTCCACTGATTACTACTATATGAGGATTATACATAAATATACATATAAGATCTTGGACAAAATGAGTCACCAGAATGCAAAAGCCTAATGTTAAGAAGAGCAAGTATAAAAATGGGTCTTCATGTGTCTTATTTTGACAAACAAAGTTCCAGTACCCAAAACTATTCAGTGTACTACCAAGACTTAGAAAACCAGAAAACATTCACATTTGAAAAGCTGGTACCAGTAGCAACTTGGCATTTTGCTTAAAATAATCACTTAAATGTTTAGTCGACTAATCAAATCTTTTAGCTCTACATAATATATGCAGGAAGTTAAGTCTTCTCACATGCATGTATGTTTTTAAGGATGTGTAATGCATGCATGTACATATATGAACAGGATCAAGGCTGCACAGGGATTTGGCTGTTGTCCAATGAAGACTCAGAAAGGAGAGGGGATTGTTGTACTCTGAAGTGGTGGAAAAATAAAGAGAGATGATGAGTGGGAGGAATGATAGGGAAGGAGGGAGATGGTGAGGATGGAAATACTGACCAGTGTTGGTTCAGGGTATTAGAGACCCCTTATCTTTGTGTCGCCAGGGGTGTGTGTGAGATAGAGAAAGAGGCACAGAGGTGTTTCTGCTGCTGCACATGTGTGTCTGTGTAAAGATCAAACTGTGTCTGATGTTTATCTGTTCACATATGTGTACTGTGTATGTACTGTTCACATACTGTATATACACATATGTCTGCATATTTCTGGTATATGTGTTGAAAAGAGGGCATGGTTGAGCGTGTGTGTGTGTGTGTGTGTGTGTGATGCTTTGTGCAGTGTCACTCCAGCAACACATGCCACAGGGTTTAACTTCTCTGTCAACACTGTTCTGACTTCAGAAAGGGAGAGAAAGAAAGTAGAGGAGACAGGCGAGGGAGAGGAGGGCGGGTAGGTAAAGGGAAGAAAGGTATAGACTGAGGAAAGGAAGAAGAGACTGCTTCTTAAAAGATATGTGAGAAGAAGAAATAAAAACAACTTAGAGATTGAATGTGAGGGAATGGAGGTGGAGGTGAGGAAGAGGGGGAGGCTTTGAAAGTTTTTAGTGTATACACAGTAATTCAGATGTACATGTTAAGGTAGGTTCCTTAAAAAGTCCCTAAAAGATTTGTTTCATTGTCTGTTAATGTGTTCCGTGCCCTGAAGGCAAACTGCCAATGAAAATACATGCATCTGCCCTGATGATTTGGTCTAAAAAATTCCTCTGTTTAACCTCTAAAGACACAGGAAAATGGTTAGAACTGGTTATAAGAGAAAATCTAATCTTTTAACGTAAGGAGAGACACTTCACTGTGTAATTTATTATTCTTATTGTTAGAAGTACTTAATTGTTGTGTGTATTAACATTTCATGGGTTCTGCAGTGATATATGGTAACATGTATAAATAAAACCACTTTTTCAACGCTTTTATGATGAAGCTTCTGTCAACTTATGATGCTATGACTAGGGATGAAGCTATTTTTACAGGTAAAGTAGGGATGCATCAATCTGACTTTTTCAGTACAGATATCAATACCAATATCTGGGCTTTGGGTATTGGCCTATGCTGAGTACCAATCCGATACCAGTGTAAAATTAATAAGCTGTATTCCTCACTGTGAGGAAGCTACTGGGAGTCATTCTTTTGTGTGTAAGGCAATATCAGACTTGACTTAAACATCACTTCCTAACTTTGGAAATCAAAAATGCTACGTTAGCTCTCCTGGAAAAATGTTCACGTCTACTGTCGCACGGCTGACGCATCCTGTAGTATGCATTTGGTTGAACTGAATAGATCGTCCCCATATATCGTCCCCTTTGTCATCGATACTCGATCCAGCTGTCTGAGTCAGTGTCGGGCCAATTTCAGTAGTGCATCAGTGCATCCCTAAGATAAAAAGGCGTATGCAGCTCAAATGCTGAATTAACAGTGAATTAAGCAACAATTCTCCCCCTCCAGTTTATCATTTGCTGCTTTTCTTTATTTTATGAGGAATAATGGATGTAGTCTACTCTGGTAAAGACACAGGGTCACAATAAAGTCACTGGAGCTTCTACCAGCAGCCTAGATCTGGTCGAGGCAGCGTGTCTGTGATGAGTCCAGAGTTGTCTGAACGGCTCCTTGTCAGTTAAGACAGATTTGCAGTTGCTGCATTGTTAGAGCAGCTGCTGCCACTCGTGCGTAAGTGGAGCTGCCAGTGATGCTGGAGCCAGACTCACTGATGCTGCTCCGGGTTAGCTGTCTGGACCAGGAGGCTACATCACTGTGCGGTTCAAGTTTAAAGCTTGGACATTGACTTACTTGCAGTAAATCGAATCTGTATGCTGTGATTCAGTGAAATTAGCAGATACCAGCAGAATCAAACAATACATAAAGATGACGAGTCTTGGAATGGTTACCATGCGTCCCGTGTCTGGTCTTCACTCTGTACTTGAATTTAGCTGAAGAGAGAAAGGCAGAAGTCTCCAGCTGACAATAGAAAATGGGGAAACACTTTGCTTGGAATTCAAACATTGATTTTAAATTAGCTTATCAAGAGTGACAGGCAAATGGATTTTGAATGAGTTCCCAAAGCTCTTAAAGAGAACTTTTGACAGAAGCCTTTTTAATTGAATAATTGCATCTAATTGAATCGATAAAAACAGAAATGATCTTTAAATTATCTGACTGAAAGTGAAAGAGATGTTAAGTCTGGAATGCTGTCGTGCAGCTGACTGAAATAAATATCACACAGTAAAATGCTGAAACGGTATGAAAAGTTCATATCACAATTATAATCACCAAAATGATATCAGGTTATTAGTATTATCGCGGTATTGTTAAAATGTGCTGAGAATGTTCAGAAAGTACTGAAACCATTTCATCAAGTTTTATATTGAAAACCACAAATAAAATTAGCAGCACTGTGTACTTTTTGTTTGCATTAAAATAATAACAGCCAATACCTTATGTAAAAATATGAAAACCATATCAAATGTGCATTAACATTAAAGATGTTATATGTAATGACCCCATGAACAATTTACATAAATGCAAATTAGTCATAAGTAAACAGTGATAGTACATACAGAGTAATCTTGTATAGGAGTCTCTAAAGTTACTACTGCCGGATTTTAAATGAACAAAATATGTTGGTTGGGTGACTGAACTATATAACGTGTAGCACAATGCATAGAGATTGCAGACAAACGACACATGTAGCAGCAGAACAACTCAGTTTAAAAGCTATTAGCAAAACTAGACTGACAAACCATGGCATTTTCCCCCCATTCTTAAGTCCCCACATTGTGCAGAAAAAAATGTACTTACCCTGCATTCACTATAAAAAAGAAGATGGTGGTGATGAAGATGACTCAAATGATTGACGCTGCATGCTGCGCCTGCGTCATGCTGGACAGTATTTACCGCATGTTTTTCCAAACGCAGTAATCAAACACTGTTTTAATCATTATTAAAATTCAAATACTAACCATTGGGGATTTTACTTATTTAACACTAAACCGGTAACCGTTTCACCCCTAGTAAAATTCCTGTCCTGGTCTCCCTGTCATCCTGTGGGGTTTCTGTCAGTTTTCTCCCACATTCCAAAGACACGCAAACCACCTGGACTGGAGGCTCCAGATCACCCGCAGGTGTGGATCAGTTAGCTCTGTGATGGCCTGAGGATTTCCACCCAGTGTATGCTGGGATAGGTTCCAGACTCTCATAACTCTTCAGAAGGAAGTGGTTAAAAACAGACAGCTCCCACTTAGAAACCACCTTTAAAATTTCTCTTATAATGTGCATTAACATGGCTGCTATTAGAAGTTGCTAAAATGTGTGATTTACATGAAGTTGTCATATGGCCAAATAGACTAAAGACAGAGTTCATGCGTTCTGGCTGTTCCTTGACTTTGCATCTGTCATTCTTGTTGTCTTGAATCTAGCTCTTTCAGACATATGTGAATCCAGATTAAAATATCTGTCTGTCTCAGTATTCCAATGGCAATTTGGCACGCAAGCAATTTCCGTCTCTAACCATGCAGACACCAGATTGTCTGTCAGTGACTGCCTGTCTTTTTTTGTTTTGTTTTTGAGGGCACATTCGTGTTTGTGAATATTTATGATGTATGTCTTTAAGCTGGAATTATCAGACAGTAATCCACTTTGGTTGTGTAAGCTTTCATCTTTAATTGAAGCATTATCCGTATTTCCGTGGCTCTTATCTGGTTGTCGTCTGCCTCTCCATGACTTGCTTTGGAATAATTAATGGTTTTCAGTGTCCTGCAATAATATTACTGTGGAATACATTCAAAACAGTTCAAGTGTCATCTGAGTGCCCCTCAACCTCAATACAATGATTCTGATACATCTGAGCATGTGAGATTTCAGATGTGTTGTAGTAGTACAATGACTTTTCAAGAGGAAGGTAGTTGGCAGTTATGTCGGACAAAGGCCACTTGAATGTTATGTTGAACCTGCCGCTTACTGTATATTTTGGTACACTTAATCTTGCTTTGTTTAATGACATGCTGTCTTATGCGTTTCTTTGTCCTGCAGCTACCTGAAGCGCTTCAAGGTGATGAAAATCAAGGTCCTGCGTTCGTGGTGCAGACAGATCCTCAAAGGCCTTCACTTCCTGCACACCAGAGCTCCACCCATTATTCACAGAGACCTGAAATGTGACAACATCTTTATCACGGGGCCCACAGGCTCGGTAAAGATTGGGGACCTGGGTTTAGCCACGCTGAAGAGGGCCTCCTTTGCTAAGAGTGTCATCGGTAGGAAAAATGCATACACAGAGCCGCTGAAGACGCACATTCCTTATCTTTTGCATGCATGCATACTGTCGTCTCTGTAGTCAGACTTAAATTTGTATATCAGAATGAAATGTTTAGATTTGTGAAGGTGGAGAAAGTGAAACCCGTGAGATCGTTTCCGTGAGTTTGCCAATAACCGCTTCACACGCATGTCCACGCACACTGTCTCGTATAAGCACAACCACAAACACGGACACTTTCTGTGCACCTACACATGCCTACTGTAGATTAATTTTACTGCTTCTAAAATGTCTGGTTGTGAATGCAAACCACAGGTATTTGGAAAGTGAAATACACACCACTCAGTCTGCTAGTAAGCTAGGATTAAGCTATCTGGAAATGTGATGGCTGCAAACACATACAACAAAGATACACCCCAAACACACATACCCTCCGTATAATACACACTTAAACTTATGTGGAGTGAAGAGTGTCTGCTGTGTTACATACATACACTTAGCTGCCGCTCAGTAGTCCAGTTGTGTAGTTGACCACAGGTATTCTGTGGTTCGCATAGTCACTTGAGGCAAGAATTATATGCTTTGTAAATCTCACAGCTGCTTTGTAGTAATTAGGCAGACCTCAAGTATTTGGACACTTGCAGAAATCCACAAACACACACACATGTATGAATGAGCATGTACACACACACACACACACACACACACACACACACACAACAGGGCTATTATGTGGTATCAGTAAGTGAGTTTGTAAGAAAGATTTTCCAAGCTGTGTGTTTAGAGATCCTCTTCTACTTGCCATAACCATTTTAGTGTTGCATAACTGACTGAGCCAGTTAGTGTTTTTTAGCCATGGCGTTTATTTACATCTCATGGTGCAGATACAGTATATTGTGTTGTCTTGTCAAAATCTGATCAGCGAAATACTGTTGTGAGCAATGCACAGAGAGTGAGAAATATACAAATATTATTCACACAATTGAGACAAAACAGTCAATGTGGAGCAGTCATCATATACAGAATTACTCTACAGTACTACAGTGTTTCTCAGAGGGATATTTGGTCAGTGTGTTATATTAAAAAAAAACTTGACTGAGAGATGGAATAGCTCATTTTTGTTTCCTCTCCTTTTCATCAGGAACCCCAGAGTTCATGGCTCCAGAGATGTATGAGGAGAAGTATGATGAATCTGTAGATGTCTACGCATTCGGGATGTGTATGCTGGAGATGGCTACCTCAGAGTACCCCTACTCTGAATGTCAAAATGCTGCCCAGATCTATAGGCGGGTTACTAGTGTAAGTCTGCATTTCCTGTACAGTATGGCTTTTAAATGACTCAGATGCGAATGACAATGCAGTGACATTCATGTGCTGTATCAACCAGCCTTGTCTGTCTTTTTTTGTCTCTAGTCTCACCACCGGCTCTCTCTGCCACTCCCCACATACTTGTTTACTGACTGTAGTAATAAGTTTGGCATGAGCTGTAAGAAATCCAGTCATATGACTGTGTTTTTGTACTAATTAGTCTCTCGCTTATTCTCCCTCCCTCCCCACCTCTCACTCTTGCTCTGTCTTGTATTGGCCTTGAGCAAGGCACTTTAACCCTGGAGCTTCTCAGAGATTAGTAAAAGAGTAAAAGCAGAGCACCAAGAGACAGTTTTGAGGCAAATATCTTGAATGAAAACAAAAAATTAATTTAATTTCTTTACTATTACCAAAGGTTTTACACTGGCTTGATATGAGGGGAAAATAAGTATGTTTTGGTGCTCTGAAACGTTGCACAGGGTCTGTCGACCACATCCTCACAAAAACATCAGAGTGAATTTCCATTATTTTTAGTGGATCTATTAATTGACTGATAAAAAGACCATTGCATCATCCCTTTTGATTAAAAAAGCACCTAGAGAACTTTTTTTTTGGTAACATTTGCTAAAATTGAGATGACGGTTGGTTAGAAACACTGTGGAGGAAAAACTGAGACAGAGACTGAAACATAGACAGAGAGGACGACAGATGCTATCAGAGGCTGTTTTAACTTGAGTGCTGCTGAGGTCATCACACGCACACAAATACAGGCAGATGAGCGCCGTCTCCCTCCTTTCCTCACGGGAAAGCTTTGTTAAAGCTGACAGTGACGGTTAATGGACCAGAGGAATTTACTAGAAACTCTCTCTCTCTCTCTCTCTCTCTCTCTCTCTCTCTCTCTCTCTCTCTCTCTCTCTCTATCCTCCATCGGTCCCTCCATTATCGCTCTGTTCTTTCTGAATTCCTCTTAACACATCTTTTATTTCAGTTCACTTTAAGCTTTATTGGAAACAATAAAATTATTGTTATGTCGCCAAAGCAACAGTGCAAATCAGAAAAGATGCGCAAACATGTGTGCACTTTTTAATTTACTTAAATAAAGTAAAATAAAGTTTTTGCAAAACCTAAAGGAGTATTTCTACCAGTATACCAAAATATCTTGCTAGTAATACTACAGAAATGCAGTGCTGTTTGTAGCCCTCAGCTAAAACAAGTCCCTCTGTCACCTCTGGTGAAGTCTAACATTAAAATTTTATGGTAACTTTAGACACACACTGGCAGCCTTTAACGCGTGTACCAAAAATAAAAACAGATGTGTTTTATTTTCTATTTCACTTACAGTATTTTAGATAATATTTGTGAAGCTTCATGTGCAGAAATTCAGACAGTATACTTCAATCCACATGTCTGTCTGGCCCTCTGCCTGTCCTTTCCCTCCTCTTACTCACACAAAACTGATCAAATTGTATCTGATTATCGTTGTGACCTCAGCCTTTGGGTTCACTGTGTGTGTGTGTGTGTGTGTGTGTGTGTGTTTGAGTTATAACTAAACAGCAGTAATCTCATAAACTGAAAGCGAGAGGGCATTCAGCAAAACAGTCAAACAACCAACTTCAGTTGTCTGTATTTGTTATTGTCACACACAACCTTGTGACAACCACAGGGTGCCTCAGTCACCTGCTTCCTTTCATTTCACTGCCTAATCCATCCTTACAGCTTTTCACCCTCCAATTCTTCTGTCAGTCCTCACTAAGTTAGAAACCTCAATTAACCCATGAGGTGTTGAAACTGTAACTTTAGAAAATAAAAAAATAGCCTTACTGCCTCCTTTCACTAGCATTTTATTGTAGATGGGTTATTAAGCTTATTAAGACAGGTCACAAACAGGTTGAGTCTTTCAGGATGTTTGGCAGTTCTTTTCTTTGTCTATTGTGCCAATTCTGAACATTACCCAGGTATTTTCTTTTCACTTTGGTCATCTCTGTATAGATATCAGGCACTTGCATCGTCACCAGCTGAATCTGAATTTGAATTTCCAGCCTGATCTGTCAGTTGGACCCCAAAGAAACTGACGCTTGGCACAGTGGCTCCCACATTGGTAGTTGGGTCCCTTTTTAAAGGGTTGCGGGAGAAAAAATCTGATGGGTCATGAGACAATCAAAAGGGATAGGAAAGCAGATCAAATCATCATGCTTTACAAAATTATATTTATTTGCATTTTTTCAAACAAAACTTAGAAAAAACACACTTTGGTTGTTCAGGTAATTTACATTTGTGGCATTTAGCAGATGCTCTTGTCCAAAGCGACTTCAAAAATCACTTTGGTGATGTCAATGGTGAACTATTCAAGCACTCATAATTGCTAGGATAGCCATTGCTGGTAGACAGCAATCATAGCTAGGTTAAGATGCTACACAGTGCTAAGTATTATTTTTAAGAGCCAGGAAGTACAAACATACAAGTTTTTTCAGGTCATAACTTATAGACATATGGAACCCATGACAAGGGGTCACACTTAGACATTGCTTCATCTTAGGGGGTCACAAGGTTGGGAACCACTGGCCTAGCATGTGCAACAAAGGAAATACACTCACATGAACATTTTGCCATATATACAGTCAATTATTTTCACATCAATATGTCACTCTTAAAATCCGTTTAGGATCATAATGTGCACCCTATTTAATTTTGATAAACTTCATACAGGTTGGAAGCTCTTTCGATTATTTTGTATGACTCTAAGGTCCTGCCTTGTGGTCATACATGTTGTTGATGTACTTAGTGGAACATTCCTGAACTCCAGTCAGGCTTGTTGAACTGAAATCTTGCTTTCTCCATCTCTCTCTCTCTTTCCTTTAGCCTCCCTTCTTCTGTCAGACTTAATGCCATTACTTCCTCCATCAGTCTTAACATTGTTTGGCCTAGGAATCTGTGCGTGTGTGTGTGTGTGTTTGTGTGTGTGTGTGTGTGTGTGTGTGTGTGTGTGAGTGTGTGTGTGTGTGGGGGGGGGATTGTTATGTAATGTTGAACTGGGGGGGTTGCAAGACAGAAACAGGCCAAGAAAGTAAAGAGAGAAAGGAGGAAGGGAAGACGGGGCTGGAGGAAAAGAGCAGAAGGAGGTGGTTGTCTGCTGGCACAAACAGGTTGAGATAAACAGTCAGTTTTTCTGTCTGTTTGCAACCAGTTTAGTCTGAAAACTGTCTGTCAAGTAGGCCATTAGTCTACTTGTCTTAGTACCTTCTAGGTAAGTTACCTACCCTTTTATTTAAAATCTTAAACCTGTCATGTAACTCATAGTAACAGTTTTTAAGAGGTTTTTGTTGCATCAAATCTGGACTCATCTTTGTGAGTCACTTTGTGTTTGATGTGTTATATGTGATATGAGGAAAATGACATGCGTTACAAAAAGTTTTCATCTATGTTAATTATATTTCATTATCTGTTTCTAATAACTGCTTTTCAGGTGGGCACAACTGAGCTAGGAGATTTTACACAGAACAACTAAATGCATTCAACTGATTACATGATTGCCCAGAACTTTTTTTGGCATTATTATACACTGTAGCATTCTCCCTACCAGCATAATGACAAATGGAAAAAACTAAGCTTGCTACCTTTTTATTTATTCAGAATTTAGCTTCAGCTCCCCTGTTGCTTGTCTTTGCTTCAGTCTCTTTTTTTGTTCCTCCATTAGCAGCATATGAACGAATGGGCTGGTCATTAAGATGCCTTTTGGCTGTTGTGTTGGGCTTCTGAATAGTATCTAAAACTTTGATGGGCCTTTAGCGGTTCCTTGTTCTTAGTGCCCAAAACAAGTTTATTACTATACTATACTGTACTACCATTTTTCCCTTGTATCACCAAACACTAAAATCCTACATTGTGCTGTATCATGTTGTCTTGTTTGCTTTTTTCTGGACCCAGGCTTTCCAGTGTGGCCTTTTTCTAATATTAGGCCTCAGAAGTGCTTTTTCTTAGTGCCAAACTTCTGAATGGGTCCTTGCTGATTCTTTTTATTAGTGTTATCCATCAAAATGTGCTCCAGTTCTCTTAATTGGTTCTGAGAATTAACCCCGCACGGTCTCTCTTACTGTAGGACCGCTGTCTGTCAAATGGCAAAATGTTCTATTTGCATTTTTTCATTATAGTTACAGATTGGGTATTTCATAGATAGTACAGTTAATCCTGCTGTACATAAAATGGATTTAACAGTTAAGTGTTGTTTCATATTTCTATTTTATTTTCTCATTTAATTTGTCCTGTTTTCCATTTTCCAATTCTGAAGGATAATTTTATGACGCATCACATACAGATGCAAAACAAAAACATTGGTCTGTTTTCTTGAACAAAATGAAGTGGTTTAGCGTTAAGAGATTCAGAGAATGAATGTATGGTCAGTATGTATGTACGGTATGTTTGTGTGTGTATTGAAAGATTGCAGTAGAGAGTACATCTCATCTACATCAGTGCGAAACACCACATGTGCTTTTGCTTTTCTTACACTCCAGCAAATGTATTTACCGTTGTGTGTTAGTGTGTGTGATCTTCTGCTTGTCTTTCACTAAAAGGTTCTTCGTCTTCACTGCTCTTGTTTTTTTTATGTGTGCAGGGAGTGAAGCCTGCCAGTTTTGACAAGGTAGCCATTCCTGAGGTGAAGGAAATTATAGATTGCTGCATCAGAACAAACAAGGATGAGAGGTGAGGCGCACGCACGCACACACACACGCACGCACACACACATACACACACAGACTATCAATATCTAGTGATATCTTTTGGATTTGGGGATTTTAGAAGAAGTCAAAGATCACAATATCACTACTCTACATCCAATAAGGTTTACAGGCAAAATCACCCTCTTTTTTAAATCCTGTTTTGATTCACGGCTTCTTGGTCATAAACAACAAGTCCTCTGTTCCCAGTCTCTGCCCATGCTGTGGGTGTGCCAAAGCGTTCATGTGTACTGCTTTAGAAAGAAAGTTAGGTTAGCTAAAGCTTACCGATAAATAGAAAACCATGTTTGTTCTATTTACTTAGCAGAGACCAGCTCAAAAGGCATTGCTGGTAGTATCAAGAAGCAAATCCTCTCTTACCTATCTATTTTTTTTGTCTTGTTCCTCTAGGTATGCTATAAAGATCCTGTTGAACCATGCGTTCTTTCAGGAAGACACGGGGGTCAGGGTTGAACTGGCAGAGGAGGATGATGGGGAAATGATTGCCATCAAACTCTGGCTCAGGATAGATGATGTCAAGAAGCTCAAAGGCAAGGAATACTTTAATATTTTCATCAAATTTAAATGTTTTGCATATGTCTTAGCATCCTTAGCTGTTGTAAAATACCCATAAACACATACTTTTAAGCAAATATTAACATGTTGCAGGTTTTCTTAGCTGCCCAAAAATCACCATTTAGCTGTTGAAAAATCAAAGCACTACTACTAATTACTCCCAAGAAAACAGAGGGGCAGCTGCCTGACCAGCCATTTGTAACTTGTTTGCAGGCAAATACAAAGACAACGAAGCCATCGAATTCTCCTTTGACCTGAACAAAGACGTCCCAGAAGATGTGGCCCAGGAAATGGTATGTATAGTGGACAGGTGGGGGTAGGGAAGGAATGGATTTCAGAGAGAATGGACAGAAAGGATAAATATTGTATAGAAAGAACTAGATGGTAAGAAAAGATGGAAAGGAGGAGATTAAGGTTTGAAATAATGATTGGAAGGGTTGGGGTGTTTGGGCATGTTTTGTTAAAAAGAGTATCTGTGTGACTCCACAAAACTCCCCAGGTTGAGTCTGGCTACGTTGCTGAGGGTGACCATAAGACCATGGCCAAGGCTATCAAGGACCGCGTGTCTCTGATCCGGAGGAAGAGAGAACAGAGGCAGCAGGTACGAGAGGAACAGGAGAAGAGAAAACTGGAGACTCAACAACAACAACAACAACAACAGCAACAACAGCAACAGCAACAACAGCAGCAGCAGCAAGAGTCACTCAAACCTTTACACACACAGGTTTGTCAGCTAGTTTAATGTTTATAAGATCAAACGGTTTTTCGTTTGTTAGTATATCAGCCTTTAAGTACTTTTGTACTTAAGTTGTATATTTGTAATATAGATTGCTTGTTGAACAGACTGATCAGGAGATGTATTTTATGTTTTAAGTTCGTATGAAAACATATCCAAGTACATGGGTATTGCAAATGATTTGCAATACGCATTCGTCACACAAGAAGTCTTTACCATTAATGTTCAATGCCATTTCCACCTAGCTGTCCGTCAGTTGTTACTTTTCCTTTTAGTTTGACCCCTGTGTTTGTGTGTCTGCAGGCAGAGACAGAGGAGACGGAAATGGAGCAACAGCAGCGTCACTATCAGCAGACCAGCATCTCACACACATGTAAGACAAACTACAAATAGTAGATACAGACGATATCGTAGTGCGCCGCATTGCCACATATATTTCAGCCTGCTAAGGTCCTTGAACACTTTCATTTATTTTCTCCTTATTTATAAAAAATATTTTGCATGCATACTTTGATAAGATTATTTCAATGCTTTTAAACATAAACCTACTTGTTTTTTCAAGAAACATATTCATATTTTAAGCATTTATAATGTGTTGATTTAAGTTTTCTGTATGGGGACATAAAGACGTCTGGCAAATGCTGGCTGGGGAGACTGTAAACCGGGGGCAGCCATTGTTGATTTACCTTTCAAATGTGGCACACAATTTACAGTCCTCCTATTGTAAACTGAAAGTTTACTGGAACTATTAATTATTTCTTCCTGTTATTGTATGCTATTGTAGTTGTTCATAAATTGTCGTGCCCTTTAAAAACAACTTGTGTCCTCCCCTGTGGCCCATCCATTTATTCAAACAGCAGAAATATTACGTGTGTGTGTGTATATATATATATGTGTGTGTGTGTGTGTGTGTGTGTGTGTGTGTATATATACATGGAGTGCAAAAAAAAGATTATTCCTGGAATTTATTAGACAATATAGAGATGTAGTAGAATTGGCAGATGTCTGATCTGATCTCTTAACACGTCTCTCTCTGTCTCTCTCTCTCCCTCAGCTGAAGGAGGTTTAGACAGCGGCACAGGTTCTTCAGTTTTCTCCTCAGACTCCCCCCACTTGGGTCAGCTGGCCATGACGTACATCTGCCCCCCTTCCAGCCAGCCCCCTTCCCAGCCCCAACCCCCTACCCCTCCTCCCAGCCCCCCTCCCAGCCTCAAACCCCCTACCCCTCTGCTAACCCACAGCAGCACCCAGGCTACGCCCAGCCGTCGCAGTCAATGGTGAGTGGCGATGTCATCCAAATTAGACAATTACGCATGTGTAGGTTTCTCTTGCACTTGTGAGGGCTAGGTCATGTTTGACACATCTGTGAGTGACGTTGAAAATTATCAGTTTGAAGTGAGCACCGCATTGTGTTTTGGAGTGGGAGTGAGTTGGAATGATGTTTGCAGTGTTAGTGAGTAGGCTGATGATTGCTTGGGTGTGCGTTAAACTAAATACACAAGAGTGTGTTGTTGATGTTTTTTTATTTATTTGGAGATGATCCCCTCTGACCTGGAGAAGCTGAGTACTAGAAGCTATTTAATTTTTTCTTGCCCGCTCAGAGAAAGCAACACATTTACCAAACAAAACACAGTGCGTTTGTCTAAGTTTATGAAGTATTGGCCAACAATCAGTCAATTAATAACACACTCCAATATTTATCAGTCAGCTTATATCAAATACCCAGTCTATTCTCAGCCACTTAGTTGGCCAGCAGGCGAGTAATCCACATAGTCAGCCAACCACTTACTTACATAATGTGTCAGTGAATCATTCATTTTCTGTTGTATTTCATGTTAGAAGCCTACCAGATGTTATGCATTCCTCTTTTCCTCAATCTTGCCATTTTATCAGCAATATACCTCTTTCTATCTTCTTCCGTCAATCCTCCATTCTTCTGCATTTTCGTTTTATTTTTGTAATGCTCCATCATCTACACATCTACTTGTTGTATATGTTGTTTATTCAGTTACTATTGTTTTTGTTATAATTGTTATGCTGTATATTTATTTGTTTTAATATTTTAAAACTTGTTCAAGTCATTCTTTATTCACATTACATGACATTTCATTCATATTGAATACTGATGAATTGTAAATCTTCACATTGTAGACTGAGCAGGTTTCTACTTCTCTCTTAAGACCCAGGATTTTATTTAGCTTCCTTCACTCACTCAGGGAATGTTTGCTGAACATACTTGCTGTTTTTACCATAATCCTCAATTGATGACCTTTTAGCAGCCTTACAGCAACCAGCAGGGCACCGTATAAGTACTTACTAAAGAGAGGGGAGCATTTCTTGTTTAATTTCCCACCCTAGACTTTTCCATCTGCTGACCTTTTGGAAACTAATGTTGTTGTCTGACTTCCAGTTTACCAGCACCTCCACTGACTGGTTTATTTCCGCTGGATAGTCAGGGATGTCGATTTGCATGCTGATTGAATAATTTAATGATGGTTCTGGCTTATTTTGAGGTCTGTCTTTGAAGGGACATAACATTTCTCAGTAGGCTTATTTCCTCTTCAATAGTAATTTCTTGGAGCCAACGGACTCTGTGTAGATAAACAGACTTAATGACAGACTTATACCAACTACCTAATTGAATATCTTGAATGATCCTTCTCTCCTTTTATGTAATATTGGGTTTAGTTTTATATTTTGTTTTAAATTGACTTTTCTTTTCTTTTTGTTTTTTTGTCTTTTATTTGTCTTTCCTACAGTTGTTCCCAAGTAAATTTTAATTTCTTTGTGTTGTTGGGCAGTTTGTGTTGTTAGATATTCTTAACAGTATGATGCAGAACATGTAAAGGTTTTGCTCCATTCAGAAATTTGCTGATGAACAAAATAGGAACTCCTGCAAAGTCACTGGTGCAGTGATTTTTCCTTTACAGATTGAGATTTTCTCCAAATCCTTAATAATTTAGGAACTGTAATCTTTCTTGTTTAAGTAAGTTCTAATTATGGAAATAATGTCAAGTATTTGTTTATGTAAAACTAACTTTAATGTCACTTTTTTGGGAACTTTTTTCATCAGATAATTTATTTTGTTTTGTGTATTCTTTACTTAATTTTAATACGTGTGTCCTGTGGTTGTGTATTTAATTTGTCTGTTGTTTTCTATGTTCAGGTACTTTTTGTGTGTTTTAATTTCTTTATGTTTGTTTTTCATGGTGGCCCCACCCTCTTCCATCACCCCTCCCTGGTTTACAGCCTGAGTTGCGCCGTCGTCGAAATCGTAGCATGTCTGTTTGCGTCCCCCCCTCCTCCTACTCCTTTTCCCATGTTCTCCGGCCCCTGGCCGTTCCTCCAAAGCAGCCCTCCACCCCTCCTCCAGGCCCGTTCTCCTCATCCTCTTACACCATCACCTCCCCCTGCATGCCTCTCACAGCTGAGAGGGACACATTCGCTGGGCGCCTCTCCCAGGCCCTGGAGACAGTCCTGCCCCTTCAGTCTGCCTCCTCTCTGCCCAGGGCCAGGCAGCGGAGGGCCAGCCTACCTGCTCTGTTCTCCACCCCTGTAGGTTCACAATCTCAATCCCCAGGGGCCACAGTGGTGGGGAGGACCAGTGAGGAAGGGAGAGAGAAAATTGAGGGAAATGGGCTGTGCAGGTGTCTGAAAGTAGAGTAGTACAACTGCTAAAACATGTTTTTTTTGTATTTATAGAGGAGTGCCCAATGTCGCTGTGTATGAAATCCTATGACAATGAGGATCAATGTCAATGAAACAGCTTGTATTGCTCATTCTGATATGGCACAAATTTGTACACCTTTGTACAGCCAAACTAGAAAAGCCTAAACAACTTTATTTTCTAATTAATATTAAGTGCAAGTTGATATGTACACTTGCTCAAAAAAATCTTGAAGTAGTTTAGTACCACTGCAGCATTCCCAGACTCCTTTACTGAATATTGATAAGTGTACAACTATACATTGGCTTGAAATCTAATTGTGCAATATTTAATCAATAGAAAAATGCTACACCTCTATTGAAATTCAAGGCATTTTAAGTGGCACTTTTATCTAAGAATATAAATTAGTATGACCTCAGTGTTTGTTCAAACTTTCAGACCCTGCTGTGAGTCTGTTATTCTACTTATCCACCTTTCATTAATTCTCTCTTTCTCCCTCTATTAGACCACCGTTTGTTCATATTAAATACAGATTGACTGACTTGAGCTTTATTTTTGCTCTATGATACTAATGTCTAATATCATGTGCATCTGCCATCAGGAAAACTTCTCAGCTGACAGACAAAATTGTTTTTTTGTGTTTTGGGGCGTTGGTGCCCTTATTAGACAGCGGACTGTAGAGAGATGACAGGAAATGAGGGGAGAGAAAGGTGCCGAATGACATGCAGCCAAGGTTGTAGCTCATTGTGGCTGCCGTAACCCCTAGGCCAACCCCTAAACATTTTAACTTTACACACAAAACAACATACCTTGTCTAGATAGTATAGTGTTTTACGGGACAATCCTCTTGCCCCTAAAAACTGGCATTTGGCAGGGAACAATTCTTGTTCCTGGTATCCATTTCCATTTCAGAAACTACAGCACAAATTATTGTGCAATCACATGCATTTTTTCATCTTAATTGAAGTTGCAGGTTACAACTACTTACTTAGAATATTAACATTTTGCAGAGGGAAGTTCTGTAATAAAATACAAATTTCCTGAGTGCAGATTCATTGTGATATTATTGAGCTTAGAGCCAGCATTTGGCCTTTCTTTTTTCTGTATTTACAGCCCCACTGCAAACTTCTTCTCTCTTGTCTTGTGCTGTACCAGTCTGTCACTTGGTCTGTCTCCCTGTTTTACTGCAGCTTTGTGTCTTTACATTACCTGTTCACTTCATCTCATCACTCCTTTTTACAGTCTGTCGGTTTTCTGTTCTATCTTAACCACATATTCTCTCTCCACACTAGAAACAAAATATGTTCCTTTTTTTCTGTACTGAAATGATGCTCTTGATACACTATTTTCTCCATTTCATGTGCCCCTTGCTCTCTCATTCTCTAAATTTTATTCTTAAATCCATTGTATCTCATTGTCGCAGCAGCATTCAATGCCACATCACTACAGTGGAGGAGCAGGAGGAGGAGGAGTAGCAGGAGGGAGTATTCCCCACTCAACTCTCCCAGACCCCACTACTATTTTCTTCCCCTCCATCCCTGAGCGGCCCATTTCCTTCTCGCCTCCTCCCACTGGGCCTTCTAAGGCCTACAACACCCAGAGACGCAAGAGCACGTCGATTCTCGAGGCTCATACCCGACACTTTCAGCCTGCTTACACTCGCTATGGGAGCAGCCTGCATCCCTTTTCTGGGATGGAAGGTGTTGAGACCCCCTCTCTCTTCATGGTAAATCCCAGTTTTGCTGCAGCTGCTCAAAGACTTGGTGTTGGGGAGTCGCTGCATCTCCCAGGACAGTCTGACACAAGTTACAGCTATAAAGACATGAGAGCGGAGCATGAGGAAGCAGTGAGGAGATTAAGTCTAAGTCAAGCTGCCTTATTGGACCATTATGAAGCAATGGCATATGGAGGATATCCAATGACTGCACACCAGCTTGGCTTCAGTTTTCATCAGCAGAGGCAAGCAGCAGCTGCTAGTTTGGGTTTTGATCCTGTTCCGACACCTCAACCCGGGTTCTTGCACCCACACATCATGCAGAGACTGAGTGCACACAGCCCAGTTCCTTCACCCTTACCACCCATGAGTGTGTCCACTGGTGGCTCTGTTTCTTCTTCGTCCTCTGATGGATGCTTTCCTCCACCACATCATGCTTCCTCTTCATCTTTCCCTATTTCTGCACCTCCAGTAATGACTGACACCCCACCATCAACTGGAAGTGTGTTTGAGTTCCATTTAGCTGCAGCCGCTGCTGCAGCTGCTGCTGGAGACCCAAGCCTGCTGGCATCCAGACTTTACCGGGCCCGAAGGAGCTCCATGGACCTCCCTCTAGAAGACACCGGAGCTGGATCAGGTGGTTCAGGCACGTACAGCCGTCTCCAGCCAGTTACAGAAGAGCTGTACTCATACGTCAGTCCCGAGCTCCCCTTACCTCCAGGAAGTCTTCTACTTCACCACTTGGGTTTAACCACAAAAGACAGAAGCCCAGAACCTTCTAGTGACTCTTTAGCCTCCTCTGACGCCGGGGAGTTCCAGTCACCTCCTCTCCTTCCTCCATTTGATTCCTCAGCTGCTCAGTCCATCCCTCACTCATCCTCCGCTGCGCTCTACGATTCATCCGGCGGAGTGTTTTCCATAGATCCCCAAGGACATCCACCCTCCATGCCTAGCTTTCTACCTCCCACTCCATCCTCCGAGCTCCAGCTTGGGGGAACATCATCTACTCAGCTGGAGTCTCTGATCCAGAATGCCTGGGCCCGGCATGGCGGGGTGATACCAGCCCAACCCGATATGACATACCATGAGTCCTTGCTGGCCATGCAGGCCGCTAACCCCACTCTGGTACTGAGTTTAGACTTTAAAAACACCCCTGGGTCAATTACTGGCTGAGATTACATAAGTTGCTTTTTTAGCAAAGATCCACAGCCAGCTCTTGATATATTGTAACTGCCATATTATAGTTTTCAATGCTCTTTTTTTCTTGCTTGACTGCAAATTGTCAACATCTCATAGGTTGACAATTTCTAATCTATTGCCATAGACCTCTAACATTGTGAAGGCAATTATTACAATTATTTTTTTACGATCTTGCGCGCTTTAGGCCATTTGTAATTGTAAAACAAAAAAGTATTATTTAGAGAAGATAAATAGAAGATAATGTAATCTACTAAGTACAGTGAATTCTTCTATGAAAAGCAACTGAATTAACTCACAATAGTAATTTGACCCAGAGGCCGGTATACCAATCCCTGTCTTTTTTTTTCACCCTACCAAACCAGGAGACCCAGCTGATGCTTACTTGTCATCATGTAGTCTTTGTGATTTTAATCCCCTCCAGTCATATCAACAGAGTGCGTCTCATGGTCTGCCTTCAAAATGTCTCACATTGTACATTCCCTGACAGTGTTTGCTTATAGAAGACAGGATCAGGAGCATACCTTTAGTCAGCACTGCTTCAGTAAGCATTTAAATAAGGTCATGAGCCACAGCACATCTGTGTCCAACATAAGAGTCAGTATTGTTAGTCAAGTTATTAGTCAAACCATAATTTTAAAAGCAACATTCAGAAGGTAGTCTTTGAGACAAACTCTGGTGTACAAGCCTTACAGTCTGAGCCCTCTTCCTTTCTGTGTTTTTGTTGTATATTTAATTTATTTGTCACTATCAGTAAGTAATATTTTGTCTGTATGTTCATATATGAATGTATATGAGAAATGTGTGTTTGTGGCGGTATACTGCATGTATGGTATACTTGAATTTTTGCTCATACAAATCCAAAGTCCATTTGGGCCTAAGACCACATTAACTAACTATGTAAAAACTTTATGCTAGACACCTGCACATTGAATAGTATGCAGTGAATCTATGAAAATTATTGAAGTGTGATAAAGCTGAGAGACTTTGATGATTTGTACGGACAAACACACAGAAACATACAACAAAACCAAGGGGGCTTAGACAAACCAAGCCAGATAGACACTTCATTTGTATATTTTAGATTCTTTCTGTTTTGTGTTGTAATTGCTAATGACATTGGCTTTAAGTCAGTTCTTTATTATAGCATATTGTGTTTCCTACCCAGACTAGAAATCAATTTCTTACTCAAGGTTCGAAGGTTCCCTAATTTAAATTAATTTAACCCTTATAATGCTGATATTATCAGTGTCATCTTTACTTTCTTCATTATTTACTTTCTGTCTTCTCATTTCTTCTTCTTTGTGGTCTGTCATTTCGTCTGTTTTTCTTTCATGTCATTTATCTTAGGTTTTCTACCTTTCTCTGTATTTTATTTATCAGATATCTGTGCTCTAAAATTCCTTATTGTGTTTGCGTGACTGCCTATGATGTTAGAAAAAGGTAGGTAGCAGTGTGCCTGGTGCAACACACTTGTGTAAGCTCCCATCACACTTTGTGAGGGTGGGATTCCTGATAAGTAGAACGTTGTAAACAGCCTTCTAAGGGTTCAGTCAATAGAACGGTCGTACTTGTCTGTATGCTGCTGCCTTTTAGGGCTGTAGGTTATTTGAAGAATACAGAAAGGAAAGAGACATTGGCTTGATGCTCAACATAAATGTACCAGGACCGGAAATCAAATAATTTTTCCCCCATATTTAGAGCACAACAAATGTTGAGTGTAGGACAGGTAATACAGTGTCAGTGTCATGAAATCTCAAAAACCTAAACACACACTTGATTTGACTTAGAAATCTTATTCTGTAATGATCATCAAAACTTTCTGAACGTGATCGGATCGGGCAATGTGGCAAGCTCCATCAATCTGACATCTAACACATACAACTAAACGTGACTCAGGCAGGTATAAACAGGTAGTTTGACTCCTATATAAAATGTAGTAGATCCAAATGTGATGCCTGTGTTAGGATGTTTCAGGGAAAACCGCAGTTGTTAAATTTAAGTTAATTAATTCATTGAGTTTGGTGTCAGTATTCCAGCTTCTACTCTGTGCTTGATTGACATATTATCACTACCAATCATTTTGGGTCTGACCTGCATGTAAAAGAAACCCTGTACTTACACCCTGCCTAACCCCAGTATTGTGCCTGTAATGTACAGTACATGCTACACTGTAAGCTGTGTATATGCGAATATACATACAATAGCATTGCCGCATAGATCAATGTGCATACATGCTGTCTGTGTGCATCTGTGCATACACAAGAAGAAAATCTACACTAAAAACGGATCACTAGCGAGCAGCAGTACCTTGTGTTTGCACTTATGTACAGTTTCTGGTGTACAAGCTGCAAACATGTTCTGATTATTTTGTGTTCTTCTCTCTCCTTCCTGCCAATTCCCTGATTTCTCACCTCTATCCCCCCTTCTTTTCATAACCTACAACGTCGCATCTCGTCCTCTATCTTTCTGTCTGTCTTTCTCTAAATCTGTTGCTCAGCCGAAGGTTCAGGCTCCCACGTCCCAGCCCTCTCCAGGACCCCCTCTGGTCCCTGCCTCCAACCAAGCAGGTCCCCCAGGGACCCCCCAACAGGTAAGACAACTAGGAAAATGACTGAAGCAACCTAAAAATGGAAGTCACTTTTGATACAACCAAAATTTTTTCCCCCCTTCACTTCTCTTATTTCATCTCTTTTCTCATACTTTTAATACTGTATGCCCTTGGTTTCCAAACCCCATAAAGATAAAATACAGAAAATAACTCCTCCCTGTTTTTATGCTTATGCAGTAATAACTCATATGTCGGCTTTCTCTTTTAAGTCATTGCTTTGAGGAAACCACTCCCACAGAGCTGGCACTGTCTGCAGTAAAACCACAGTCTTTCTGAATGAGTGTGTTACCCCCAGCACAAACCACTGCTATGAACTAATTGCAGCCTTAAACTTATTTGACTGAGCATAAAATTGAATGTTAATCGGAGAGCAAATATTTCCTGTCAGAAAAATATCAGAATACTTCATTATTTGAACTAGCAACAGCCATTCCACCATAATTACACTCATGTTCATAGTAAGCATTGAATATTGCATTTACATTTTGCAGAATATTCTGTTTGCTAATTCTCATTTTATAAGGCAAGGCAAATTTATTTGTATAGCACATTTTGACAACAAGACAATTCATAGTGCTTTACATAAAACATGATACAACATTGTAAGAGTGCTGTCACATGTTTAATATCTCATTTAGAAGGGTATAATATTTAACTGAATTTAAGAGACCAAGCATTATTCATGCAATTTTTGTTTCGCATAACCAGGATTTGAGTTTGTCCAGGTTATTATAAGCAGGAGTTGACTGTGAACTGCAATGGCTTAAAGTATCAAACCTAAAAAGGATATGTGTGTGTGTGTGTGTGTGTGTGTGTAAATGTTTACATTTCTATATTTAGTAATATTCTCTCTCCTTTCCTCTCACACTATGTCTGTTTCTCCCACTGTCTTTCTTTCCAGGTTTCATCTAGTCAGAGTAGTACATCTCTTCAAAGCCCCACACATACATCTATGCCGCAGGCGTCTGCACAGGTACGCAAAGTAGCGCCACTATTAAATATATATACAACACAACAATAAATAAATAAACACATCCCTAATGCACACAAGCTGCCACTGGCTCTTGCAGACAGGTGCTGGATTTAATTCAAGATTGCCATACATGTCTGGATTTGTCTTTACAGACACACACAACTACCTGCCTATACATAGTAATTATGCACACTAAAATCTAAGCTGAAGCCAATCTAATAAAAACTGACTCACTACGGCCTTCATGGATACACCTAAGAGTTAGTTTAAGTTCAAAACAAACAAACAACTCTCTGTTAGTGTGGTTTTCCCAGACACTCTACTGTAAATGTGAGACAAACATGGACATAAAAACTCCTCTAATAAGCTCCACATTCAGTGGAAACATAGCAAAGCTCTCTACATAACATTTTGTAATCTACCGCTAAATTTACACATGAATGTACAACTTTTCAGTAGAAGGATCTTTGGGAAACCATGTGCCACTCAGAGGTCTTTTGATTAGGTATTTCTTTGACCTTTCAATTCAGTTATCCACCCAGTCAACTGTCTCAGGCATATATTAACTATGTCAGTTTGATAGTAAATTATAATAATGTGTGATTATTGCATGTTTTGCTCATCTTGAATTGCTATTTTTTCTCCACACTAAACTATTCTTCGTCAGCTCAATTTATTTCTTGTACTTTTCTTCCCATTCTCTGTCTCTCCCATTGGCATGCTGCCTGTTTTTATCACTGGGTTTGTTTTTATATGTGTTTAATACATGCCTACTTGTGCTCGTATGTTTGGTCATATATTTATGCTTTTTGCAACCACAACAAAAATATATGGGGGTGTGTATATATTTGTGTGTGGTTAGTTTTGTGACCTCACTCCATCTCCCAGTATAGAACATCTTTATCTTCTGTACCAAGCGGCTCGGTTTGCTCTGGTCCAGGTACCATTATATATGATGATATACTGTATGTGGGTGCCCGTGTGTTGTCTATCCTCATGGATAAGTGTGTTTATGTGTGCATCTTAGTAAGTAATTGTTCATCTGTGTGATTTGGTTGGTGGATCTGTTTCACATCCCTCTTGTTTTTGTCCTTTTTGGATATAGCTCTGTCTGTTGATGCCTATTGTTAGCAGTTCCCCTTTGTTCACCCCAGATTCTCCTTCTACTATATTATTAAAAGCATGGATAGCAAAGACATGAACACATTGTTATGAAATGAGGATGTTTTAAATTCACTGGATCAGTACTGATAAACAGTAAAAAGTGAATATTGGTAACAGAAGGCAGTGAAGAATACTGGAAGGTGCCTGTGTCAAGGGCAGTGTCCAGTTTTGTATTAAAGAAATTAAAGAAATATTGATATTCTTTAGGTAGCATTCTGTAAATTGACATGTCACTGAGCTGATGTTTATTGTACATCTGTAAAGTGTGCAAAATACTTCACTGTCTAGCTGTACACATGTAATTGGAATGGAAAATAACGTTAAAGTTTCATGTATGTCAGAAGTGCATTTTGTGACAGTATGTATGAAGAGCAGCGGAATTTTATTTATTCACAATGTCAGGTTGGGTTGACCCCTTCAAGTAACAAAAATTAATCCGCTTGCCTGGCTTGTTGGTTTCTTATTCATTATTATTTTTACCTTTTTAGATCTTTGTGTTGTTGAGCATACAGTAAATAGATAGAAAGTACAGAGTTAGTTTATATAAAGGTACCCTGTGGAGTGTTTGAGTTCTAATAGCACTTTGGAGCAGTTTTTTTGTGAGTGGGTGCTCATGTGCACGCAGGTGACGCCACCCACAGTCCTGCCAGTGGTTTCACACTGTTTCACTGCTCGACAGGTGGCTGTAATGCACAGCAAGGTTCTTACAAAGGCAGGTAGGAAAAAGACTGCAAGCTGGTAAACATGGATGTAATAAAAGCAGGTTTCAAACGTTTTAAGAAAAATTGTCTTTTGCAAATGTTTTGAGGAAGGAAATGTTAGACGTCAGGGATTATTCTGGGGGTTTTTTTGTTTTTTTTCAGTTAAGTATTTTTCATCCAGGGCCCCACAGCTTCGAATCTAAGAACTTGTACCTGCTTACCACCTAGTAAGATAGAAACTATTTTTAATCTACGTTGTCTCTAAATCATGACTTTTAAGGAAATCAATTCGTTGGACAATTTCCCCAAAAGTAAAGCTAGGGGAGCACAAAGACTTGCCTTAGCATAGCTCCTTTAAATCTCTTGTGTGTGAGGAAACTAGGGCTGCACGATTTGGAGAAAAAGTCATATTGCAATTATTGTGGACAATATTGCGATTTGCGATTTGATAATAATGGAACAAATGGTACTATCACTGTACTTGCTTGATTATCAAGGAAAATGCACAAAAAGTGACATTTTCTCAACATGAACAAAGTTAAACAATAAACAATATTTATAACAATAACTAGTAAAACACAACCAAGGGAGCGTGTTGCTCTACGGAGGAGGCGGCTAGAAGGAGCAAATATTGGCGCTCTGGCTAATCTACATTAGTCCACTGCAGAGACTCTATCCACAACCTGGAGGAGGAACTAGTATACATGAGTATTGTATGTATTATGTATTATTATAATATTATAACATTAAATAAAAAGTATAATGTTCAGTTAATAGTATACTGTTAGTATAACAATAATAGCCTATATTAATTACTATATTCATTATAATTTCTTTTAAAAGTTTACTATTCTACTACTTGTTGAATATTAAATCCAGTTACAGCAGTTTCAATTGTTTTTTTTTATTTATTTAAATCTCGTGCAAGAAAAAGGCTCTACATTGGTCTCTTATTTGTTAGTGCTACGTACTAACTTGTAAAAAATCATATTGTTCAACATTTGAAAGTTTGCTGTAGTACGTCCTGCCCTACCCAGGCTGTGATTAGTTGGTTGACGAAAAGTGAAACTGACAAGCACGTCGGCTTTATGAAAAGTTGAACATGTTGAACAACAAAAGGCAAAAATACAGCTAACGTTAAATGGCCAGCGAGCCAAACCCAAACCTTCCATATCTTCTCCCTGGTTTCTTCTATCTTACCGCTTCAGCTGTTGACGATGTCCCTCTGTCTCTGTCACAGAGCGACCGGAGCACCGGCATCTCTCTTGGTGCTCCGGTGGCAAGTCCAAATATGTTTTGAACGCTTAGCAGCGGAGCAGGGAGGAGGGTTATGGTAGGTTGTTGTCTTAAAAGTCACTGGCACACTGCTCATAAAAAAATTTTCTGATTGCAGGTAGGCCCATCTGTTTGTAGAGGCACAGGCGAAAGCCCGGTGTGGGTGTGGATAATGAGCAGACTGCAGCGCACACAGAGAAGAGTGTCACACACACTTTAACGTTATCTGTTTTATTAAATCCTAAATTGCACACTTTTTGCGGTTATGTAATCACATGACAGCATCACGGTTAGATTAATCATGCAGCCCTAGAGGAAACATTTGTAGGTAGGTTTTCAGCCCTGTGTTTTTCAGTGTTGAGAGTGTTTCCCATCTGCACAAAGAATTTGCTTGCTCTTTCACTGCCTGTAAACCCGTACTGTACCTTGTCTGCAGAGATCTAAGTTTTTTGTGGTTGCATGATCTTTGAGTCATGTGTGTTTTACACAAATCGTCCTGTCACAGAGTTTGTTGTTTAATTTGAGATGTTGTCACTAATAGGCTTGACCAGTGTTTCATTTGTCTTGCTCCGAAAGTTGTTTGTTGAGGGTCTCGGAGTCAAACGTGTCAGTAATGGGTCAGTGAACCATCGATGGCTCTTTTCCTGATGTCTTTATTTGAACTTGATTTATCATGAAGATCAATAAAGACCCAAATTCACAACCTTTTTTTCTTTCCCCAGCACATTCATCTTTTGATGAAGTCTTTATTATATTTTAGGTTAAACTAAAGACCGGCTTTAGCTCACTGTCCCATTACCAAGGCGACTGACTTGGTAATCTGTCTGTGCTCATCACATCTTGCCGGGTTTCTACTTCCACGTCCTCCCAATGACGTTGCTCCCTCCTTTTCCTCCGACCCGTTCTCTGCCTTATCTACCATCTTCTTTTTCCTTTCTGCCTCTTCCTGGCCCTTCCTCCTCTTCTCAGCCCAGTGTAACTCCATCTGCCGTTTCCTTGGTGACCCTGCCCACTCCGTCGCCATCCCTCCCTGTTACCATGCCGGCAGCGGTTGTGGCTTCCCCTCCCTCTCCTCTGCCTCTCCCTGTTGGGGTGGTGTCTACTATTGTTTCCCCTCCTCCTCATCCTGTGCCCACACCTGTGCCTCAGCCATTGGCCACCGTGGTGCCAATCATCAGTGTAGTCACCGCCCCACCCGATACTCCCATGGAAGCCCCTCCCCAGGTACTGGTTATGGATAGTCAAACCCACCAAGTGGATGTCTTGTTCCTGTTCACTCTGCCCATATTTGTCAAAGTTGAATGCTGTCACATTCTGGAGCCTTGGATTATGAGTTGGGATTTTCAACATCGTTTTTATGGTCCGAGATATGTATTTAAACGGGAGGATGGACAGAAAGCTTTATAGACTTAATATTATGTAATGGGCCTAGTGCAAGAACATCTTATCATATCTTATCCTAAAAGAGTTATAAGTTAGAATCACCAAACTCTCTAAAAGAGATCACATTAGGCTTTTTTTAGGCTTTTCCCTCTCCTTTATTGTGTTACACATCTTTTTTTTGTGCATGTTATTGGTTTGCAAAGTGAAAAAGTCCACCCCAAAGGGAAAACAACGCTCTGAATTGCGTGAAAACAGCTCAATTGTAGTTCAGCCTTTACTTCTACATCTGTGTCACTTCACAAGATGCATCTAAATGCTTGCCTAGTGGCACGCCCTCAAAATGTGCAACTCCCAACAAAGATCAAATAGAAGAGAGATGCTTCCCTCCCTAGCTAAAATGGAGTGTTAAACACACAGGGTTAAAAGAGGAGCTCCAGCAGTGTGCAGTACGACAAAAATATGGTGTTTTTTTTGGAAATTAAACCAGGTAAAATTCTTTCCTGGTACAAACCCTAAATACAAGAGCATAATATGACCTCTTTAACTGCACAAATCATAAATCGCTTGTTTCCGCCTGATGTATGCCACAGTTAGATGCTAAAAAACGTCTTTCTGAAGCAAAGTAGGCCATGAGGGTATTAGATGACAAAATAATATAGCCTACAGTAGGTGATGTTACACTGTCGGTGCAACAGATGACCCTGAGGCAGCTGTTGGAGGTAGAGAACTTTCCTATTGAGTTTATAATATAGTTTCTACAAGTTTATATGAAAATCTAAAATTTAAAGTAATGAGTAAAATAGGAAGCCATTATGATGATAATATGGTGAACAAAAAAATTATATCAAGTTTGTTTTAGTTATATATTTTATTTGAATTAACTTAAGTATCGGATTTAAACTACAAATTGTTTTCTCCCTGTGGAGCAATGCAGACTATCTGCACATGACTCAACACAGGTCTTGACCACTTGAATTCCAAGTGTGAGCAATTCTTTTAAATCACTAGTATGTGGTACTTAAGGACATATCTGTAACCTGCCTACCTACCAATAACCTGCCCACCCTACAGTAAGAGTTTAGATAACCGATAACTATTGTTATCGGTTCATGTCTGTGTTGGGTATAACATGGTACGATCCATGTTTTGTAGCCGTGTGTTAAATGGTACTGTTGAAGTTAGCAGTATAGTATATAGTATATGCATTTTGATGATAATTAATGATGACTGAGAGGCAATGATAAAGGCTGTTCATCGTTATGAGATCCATAAAATGCTGATAGTATGCTGGTTTACTGTTTATTTATATGCTGTTTGTGTTAAATAGCTTTTTTGGCTGGGTTTGAGTGTTGCAACACTGATTTACTTAAAAATCCCACAGTCAAGCAATAATTGTTGGAAGGGTTTCCGGGATTGTTTGTGTGATATCTCTGAGCCAGTGAAAGATTTAAAACATCTGTGAAAAAGAGAAACTTGGTCTACAAATAAATGATGTCTAATGACATTGATCAGTCACTGTCTGCAGATTTGTTCAAAGTGTCATCCTTAGTTAAACTCTGTTCTAACTCAGACCATTTGTTTTTTATTCCTAAGTAATCATTTGTCACTTCATTATGAGTGAGGGCTGCATGTGTTATTGGAGATACTGGATGAATACAATCCAGTTTCTTTTCTCTTTTGTGGCAGTTCTTGCTTGGCTCCTTTTGTTCAATGCTCTAGTTTTAGTTGTTGTTCTGTCCAATTCTGTACTATATAATTTAATTCAAATGAGTCCTTGGTGAAAAATCATGACGGCATTTCTTACAATCTAGTTTGTTTTCTCTCTTACTTTTGTCACACTTTGCTTGTATTTCCAGCCCCCCCACACACAATTTCCCTGGTGTGCCTGGTGATTACAATCATACTGATTGAGTATGTATGTACATTTTCATGTGTCTGTATTTGTTTCAGTCTGTCTCTCAGTCTTCAGAGCTGTCCCAGTCACAACTACAGCCACCTCAAGTTCTCTCATCTATAGAGAGGTAATGGACATTCCTCAAACCAAAGCAAAATTTCTTGATCATACTTAATCTTTTTGACGCTGCCTCTCACTCAGTTCCTATTTACTTCTCTTTCTCTTATTCAATGTGGCCTGTCTCCTCTGTACCTCAGTGGCCACTCTGAGACTTCAGGTCTGAGTGACGGGAACGAGGGAGGAGGAGGTCGCCATGAAGGTCGCTCCACCAAGCGACATCAGAGACGTTCTGTACGAAGTCGATCACGCCATGAGAAGCTTTCCAAGGCGAAACTCAATGTTCTCAATGTAATAGCACATCCTGTAAAGTCATAATTAAACAATAAATCGTCTCATGTACTTTATCACTGTTATTGGTTGTTAGAGAGTGATGAGTTGCAATAAAACTAATGAGAAACTTCTAATCGAGATACTCATCGTTTACGTTCTGTCTCCTTTCTAATTATATTTCTCGGTGTATTTTCTACGTTTGTGTGTGTATGTGCATGTAGATCTCCAACCGAGGAGATAGGGTTGCAGAGTGTCAGCTGGAGACACACAATAGGAAGATGGTGACTTTCAGGTTTGACCTGGATGGAGACAACCCCGAGGAGATCGCCATGATCATGGTACACTCACCGTCACCTGTTTGATTTTCTCAACCACTCTGTCATTCATTCACATTCTCTCCAACCATAATAATGCCTCTGTATAAAGGCTAGAATAGGCTTCACATGACAGTCCTTGTGCTGTGTAGTCTTTGTCATCAAAAACCACTGATGGACACACAATTGCTGTGCACTTGTTCTTGTGCTTTTGTTGAGAGATTCTTCACTAGGCACGAGGCAGAATTATATTTCTGTGTGTGTGTGTGTGTGTGTGTGTGTGTGTGTGTGTGTGTGTCTAGGTCCAAAGTGAGTTTATTCTGGAGAGTGAGAGGGAGTCGTTCATTGAGCAGGTCAGAGAGGTGATAGCGAACGCTGATGAGAAGGGTCTGGAGAGAGACACAAATAGCCAGGTAAATTCATCAATGACTATTTATTTCTTTCTCTCTTTTTTGCGTTTTATCATCATCTTTTAGTTTAGAGTTTCAGGTGCATAGTTTCAGTTGTTTGGGATTTTCATCAAAAATGCTGAAGTAGCTGCTGTTATTTTTTTATGAACTTTTTATTGCTTTTATATAGTGTGTGTGCATATATTGTTGTCTTGTTGATCTACAGATGGCAGGTGATATGGAGCAGCAGATTCCTGCTATATCTGCCCCCATGCCAGGTAAAAACAACAAAATAAAAAAATAACAACGGGGCAACAGGGTGGCGCAGGCTACTGTAAGGCTGTATTCACACTAAATCAGGCGTTGCAGCAGTTAGCGCGGCAAGTAGAAATAATAACAAGAAATCTCAACTTGAAGAGCAATACAATGCCAAGCCACAGCACGCAGATTAACTTCTTTGTACTCCCTCATGGCAGGGTTGTACAGCTCTGGAAAGGTCATCACGATGCTGATCAGTCTCTTCCATCTTCACAGTTGCTCAGAAGCACATTGCTACATGGTAAACAAGGTTCTTGTTCCCGTGGACATCTTCGAGTCTGATCACTGGCTTACGTGATAGGCAACCGCAGTGTGATTTTGGGTTGTGTTTTCTCCAAAAGTTGATTCTGTTTCAGCTTTTTGCCGCAGGGTCACTACCTTTTTTGTGTGTGTGTGTGTGTGTGTGTGTGTGTCATCCCTTGTGGTCCCCACCACTGCACCCTAAACTCACTACCCACATTTAAATGAATCTGACAACTGGCATATTCGCCGCAGCGCCTTATTTGATGTGAATACAGCCTAAGATCCGGCTTTATGTGTCTGTGTCCTTGAGCACAGGACTGAAATATTACCAAATCTATAGATGAGACAGAATTTCCACACAGAGATTTTTCCATAATTTCTCTTCAAAGCTTCTACTTTGCATCCAAAAGCTTCCTGTTGCTTATTTTGCAGACGAACTGTAGTAGGGAATCGTAGTCTGCATGTTATTCTCTCAGATTAACAATTAACCATGCTATTTAATGACGTTCATCTCTTCCCAGACATTCCTCCCTGTGCAACAGCACAAGTGGTCCATTCAGCAGGCCGACGGTTCATCGTCAGCCCAGTACCTGAAGCCAGGCTGAAGGAACAAAGGTTTCCCACCTCTCCTGCCCCTGCACCTCCTGTTGAAACAGGTAAAGGATTGTATTTGTGTGTGTCTGTGTGAGAGAGACCTTTAAAGGTCAGCTAAAAGTTCAAGTATTTTCTTTTCCAAATAAGTATGGTACGTGTGGGGTTTGTTTACAACAAACCATGTTTCTCACCCCATTGGACTCCCAGCAAATAAATTGGTGTTAAGAACATTACAACATTTTGTTGGAATGCTATTATAATGATGGCAAAAAAGAGAAAGAAATTGTAAAATAAGAAGAGCGAGAAACTGATTTTTTCTGTAACTTCTAACACACACAAAAATGCACACATTGTACTTGTCTCCCACACACAGACTTATCAGATTAAGTTGTAATGCTTTTCAAGGAAATTGCCCAAATGCTCTGTCCAAATGCAATAACACACTGGCATTAATTTAAACTGATGCCATAGGATCTTCTGGCGGAACACTGGAATATAAATAGCTGTAGCTCCAATCTTCATTTAGATATTGTGGAATTTTAATATTATTCTATCAAAGTATATAAAAAATAGGTTTTGCATTACACAATGTTCAAAAAGAACTACAGCTGTGGTTCAAAAATGTTTTGTTCTTCCCTATTTTCTGAATAATGCAATGCAAAGGCATATTTTGTTATTGAAATCACATACCTTTGCGAGACAGTGGGAGAGTGCTGGGATATATCACTAGACTTAAAGTAGCCGAACTCACAAGAGGTTAATCATCCTCGACACTCTGAAACCTGTCCATCTATAACAAAGCAATACCTAAACATTTCTTATTAAACGAAAAGTTGACTAAGTGGGATTCAAACCTAGGATTACTAGTAAGTCACTGACATAACCACCACAAGACAGCCTTCTTTGTAACCCAAAAATAGCCTTTAAGACTATTCAACCAATTTAACATTGCACTCCTGATGGACAGTTTAAAAAAAACAATCATCAAACTAGATTTTTTTTCATTTTCAAACTTGTAGACTTCAGCCACAACTCCACAACATACCGGTATGCAGTAGTCCTCCCCTAGACCTGTAAGCAGACTTTGAAGTGTAATATCAGTGGAATTCCCCTTCATCTACTGCACTTCCTTTGATCGTTGCCTTCTTGGACATATGACCTGTCCCATGTGGAAAATTAGACCCAACCTCAATCTTAGAGTCAGTGAAAACAAACAAAGTATTTAACAAGTACTGTTAGGTGAGGGATTATCTCACACCGGGGTGGACTGAAACAGTGTTTCTTTTTTCCCCCAGTTCCTCAGACTGCAGGCCAAGGTTTGGCATTGTCCCAGTCTGCCGGAGCAATCAGCTTACAACAAGCCTTCTCTGAGCTCAGACAGAACCAGGCTCAGTTTGATGCCGGACCCAGCACGGCCCCAGCTTCTGTCTACTCCACCCATCCTCCTCTACAGCCTGCAGCAGCTTCTGTTCCATCACAGGCCAGCACAGTCACTCCTGCTTTGGATGCGAGTGCTGGACTTGTCCCTTCTAATTTAAACCAGGCACAGGAGCAGGTCTTGGAGCCTTCTCTTTCTCCCCCTTCATCCTCCTCCACCCCCTCCTCTGTGCCCGCTGTCTGTCTCAGCCCTCCTTGTTCCTCTTCCCCTCCTCCTCCTACTGTCATAACTCAGTCCATCCTTCAGTCACAGGTACTTTCCCAGGTGCCCCAACCGCAGGGACTGGTGCAGGTCCAGGGACAAGCACAACAGCCCCAGGCTTTCACCCAGCCTCAGTCTCAAACTATTTCTGCTGTCATTGCTCCTTCAGTACCTTCCATTTTACCATTGGCCAGCATCTCTGGCATCCCCCAAACAATGCTCACCTCTCCTCCTCCCGCCCAGACTGTTCCGCTTGTATCCTCCCCTCCCTCCTCCACTCTAACAGCCAGCGAAGTCTCCTCTGATCATCAGTCAGTCTCTCCCACCTCCTTCTCCACTCCTTCCCTCTCCTCCTCTGTCATCCCCACTACTGCCATCCCAGGCCCCCAGCTTGCTCCCTCCGCCGCCTCCCACCCCACTCCCCCCTCCTCCTCCTCCGAAGTGGGGCTCCTGCCGGTGACAACCAATGTTCCTTCAGTCCAACCAACCTTGGTCCACTCCCAGCCGCAGACAGCAGCCCTGCCTGGGCAGGTGCACACACACTGTGGGGAATGTGATGCAAGGTGAGAGGTGGCCGACGCGTCTTTATTTAGTCTCTTTACTTTATTTTCTTTTTAGGACTGTGTACCTGACTCTCCCTTTTTTGGTACCAACTGAAATGTGTCCGTAGGATTGAGTATCGAAAACGGTCAAGTATCAAAAGCTGGCGTGGACTGGCTGATCATCTCCTACTTATTCTCTTGCAAAACATTCATTGATATCTTTCTCAGGTGTGAGGCATCCATTGATTCCCAAGGCAAACCGGACGACATCCAAGTTCTGGAGAAGAAGCTGCGGTCACTCTTCATGGACCTCGGTGGAGGGGTGCCATCGTCCCAGGGAGACATCTTAGCTGCTGACCCTACTTCCGGAGCCCACGTAGCAGGCACCTCGTCCCCGATTGGCCCCTGCTCTACCTCCAGCACATCTGTCACTGCAACTGGCTCCAGCCCGCCAGCCAATCCTCCTCAGCCCCCCACCACCCTAGCTCTGATGTCCCCTGCTCCAATCCAGGGCCCTGGAACACCAATCTCCACCCCTGCACCGATCGGTAGGTAGATGACTATGTTACTGCATGTGTGCTAGTGTCAGTTAACCTGTGTTTTAATAATGTTGCTTACAGACTTCATGATTTCAGTTTCTACAGTCATCCCTGCTTCATCCTTTGGCCAGACCACTCCATCCAAACCCCCCTTATCCAGGGCACCGGTGAGTGATCCAGTTTAGCTATAGACAGCAATACTAGTGTTTTAGATCTAGTTAAACAGCAAATTGTTGTATAATTTATTCCAATCTGTGGTCAGCTAGCAGACCAGTGTTGCTTTTAGGAGAAACTGCCCAGGTAATTCACAGAACTGCACCTTTAATGTTAAAAGTTACAGATAATTTAATCTTAGAAATTACATGTGTTCTAGGGCTGTACTGAATGTCTTTTTTTTTCAGTAAGATTTTGCATAAAGTTTCAAATGTCTGTTATAAAAAAATCTTTAATTTTCAATTGGAATAAAGTGAATAAGCGGATGAAATTAGAGACTATACTAATTTCATCTGCTTATTCACTTTATTCCATATTTTGTTACGTTTTTTTCTTTTCCTATTTTGTTAAGTACAGGAAGACTGAATAGAATTTGTTGGTTGTTATTGTTTTATGGAGGTTATATTAAAAGCACAGATAAACACAGCTACAACCATGTGGGAAGGAACCATATTGCCAGATTTTGTGTGAATGCATGCAGCTGAAGCCACGCATCATCCTGTCCGCTGTGCTTGAGAGTGTGTGTGTGGTGGTGATGGTGGGGGGGTATGTTCATATCTTTGAACTAGTTCATATATTTGAACTATTCTGTGCAGCCCTAATGTGTTCCAAGATGTTTCCACTCACTTTCCTTAAAACTCATCTGGCATGGACATTTCTTTTAACCTTCTCCACAGTGGACTCCTTTCTTATAACCTCCTGTACAAATCTCCCCCTCTGTCTTCTCATCACCTCTCTTTCTCTGGGATTAGGCCAGTTCTCCTCCTTCAGAACTCCTGCCATCTTTCCCTGGACCTTGTCTAACACAGGTGTTTTTTTGCTCATTTGAGTTCTATTTTCAATGCAATGCAATACTGTATTTATACTGAGCCTCTAATGCTTATGATTATAAATCCATGTCGTATCTCTTTTTATATAAATTGTACTTCTGCTGTGCAAAAAGTCATTTCATCCATAGTGCATATTTAATATTTTAACAACTAGTGAAACTTAACATGTGTCCAAACACTGAGAGGAGATACAGATTACGTTATGTCCATCATGAACCCCTCTCACTTCAAAAGAAGATTACGTTTTAAACAACTGAATAAGTGACAGCAGAACTCAACAAGGGAGAAGAATGTAACATAAAGTAGATACATTAAACTACAAAGAAATGCCTCTAGTTTTACTCTAAATGATAAAGGCTGATTAAGAGAAAGGGTAAGGGACATGGAAACACCGTTGGACAGAGAGAGACAGAGGTGGCAGTTGTTGTGGCTGAGAAGGCTGCCATTTAAAAATAAACTTTCCATTTAACCACTGAAAAATAAGATAGGACTTGTAGCTCTTTCATGAAAAATCTGACGTGCCAAGACATTCACTTCTTGTCCCTTACATAACTCTCACGGCCGAGACTTGTCCTGTTTGATTAAGTTAATCCTGCTGTAGTCGAAGTTCGCAAGGGATTTGATTGTTAATGATTTCTTTTTTAATTGCAGTTAAAATGCTGAGGAGAACAGAATACCTTATTAAGCCCGCTACATCACTTTACCTATCTTTGTGTGTGATGGAACAGGAGAGGGGTCGTCCTAATGTCTACACTTTTTTTCTAGACTTGATGAAATCTGAATTCTGCACCTCGTTACTAATTGGACCAAGAGATGGGGATCTATTATGTGTTTGATTTTGATGTCACAGTTGATTGGACCACATGAAACAATGCAGAGTGTAGCTATCAGCACTTGGCGAAATGGTTGAAATCATTATCATGAAATTAATCAGGAAATTTTTTGATTTGTGTCATGATACTTCAATTATATGGACCTATAAAACAATCAAACCGGTGTTCAAATGAATGAATTGTCTTCCACTCTTATGCATTACATCGATCAAACTCCTATTATACCTTACACATATGAGTAAAACGTAAACTTGAGTTAGCTAATTTTGTGACTCTTAATTACATCTGCTAAATGTCGAAAATAATATTGAAATATTGTCCAGCCCTACTAGCCATGCATGTTTGCTTTTGGCTGATCTGTGCTAATCGACTTGAGTGACCAAGCCTGTGTGTGTGTATCTAAAGTGTATCTGTCTGTTTCCAGTCCCAGCAGCCTCTGGAGGACCTAGATGCTCAGTTGAGGCGAGCACTGAGCCCAGAGACGGTTTCCGTCAGCGCACACCCACAGGTACACAAACACGTTTAGATATTATTCTGTTAACTCATACTGTATATACTGTTTCAAGTCACTGACCGCTCAATACATTTTCTCCCCATGCTGTCCCCAGGCCTCTCACAGTGGCATGCCTTCAGTGGGACAAAGTATGTATATTAATAATAATATAATATTATTTTAATATAATTGAATGTCTTTGTCTTTATGTAAGTATTGTATCCATCTGCTGAATATTTGTTACATCTGTCTTTCAGTTCCCTTCTCTCTGGAGGAAGAAACTGTGTCCTCTGCTGGTCCTGCAATTAAACTGGGAAGATTTCAGGTAAGATTTATCTCGCACTACAGACCATACATGAATACCTACGCATTTCCTTTGCCGTGGGTCTAAGGGTAACATAATAAATGTAGCCTGTAATGAAATTAATGTAAAATTCATTTCAGGTTGTGAACACTTCTTCGCCTTGATTTGTTGCCTTGAAGTGAATTCCCCCTGACGGTTTCTCTGTATATTTAAATTGAAATTGTTCACACTTATTACACACTTGTTTGAAATACTGTATCATGAAAGTTTGAGAAGTATATTCCTTACAGGGATAGTGTGAGAATCTGTTCAATTACAAAATGTGGAATTTTATAAAACCTAGAGGTAATACAGGGAATGGTTGGGAAGATCATGGAGAAGTCTTGGACGTTTAATGAGGAAGAAAACTTGCAGAATAGTTAAAGGGAAACAGCTAATTAATGCTGTATGTCTGTCTCTCTGTTGCATTGACCCTTTTCCCTGTTTAGGTCTCGTTGGCTGCTGAAGAGCCTCCTGTCAAACGCCCGGCCTGCACGGAGTCTTCCTCCACCACCTCCTCCTCCTCGTCTTCTTCCTCCTCGTCCTCCTCCAGTCTCTCCAGTCCGGAGAATACACTGCACAAGGAGTCCTCGTCTCCTCTGAGAGGGGGAGGAGGACAACGAGGAGATGTAGTGGACGGACTCCCCCAAAGGACTCTGGGAGGGTCTCACCACCCCTCCCCCCTCACTTCACCCTGTCCCTCCCCTAAACCCACCACTACCATTGGACGCTTCCAGGTATTTCCTGTTTCCTGTTTTTGATCTCTGTAGTAGTGTAATGAGTGAGGGGTTTGTTGGTTACAGGTACTACACTAACTTCCACTAATTCAATATTTCATCCAATATGTTGATATTTTTTCAGGTTACCACCAGCCCCGAGGCCCGTGTTGGTAGATTTTCAGTCAGTCGTGCCCAGGAGCAGAACCTTGAGTCCAGGCAGACGCCTCCCCCCGCCACCCGGGCTGCTAACGGACCCAGTGATCCTGGTCCGATTTTGAGTCCAGACTCCACTCATAAAGCTTCGCTGCCAAATCTAAACAACAACTCCTTCAATAACTCCTACATCAGCAGTGACAATGACTCCGAATTTGAGGATGAAGACTTTAAACGGGAAGTCAGTCGCCTCAGAGAAAAGTAAGTTATCCCTTCCTCTCACAGAAAAGACTGTGTCTGTTGTCAACTCTCTCTCCTTGTACCTCTTCTTTATTAAGATTAACTGCTTTGAAGAAAACCAGGTTTTGCGCTCGTCTTTCTTCTCCCTCTGTACCCACAAAAATAGCTTGTAGTCTATGCTCTGCTTCTCTTTTCTCCTCTTCCTCTTTCCTAACCCTCAAGAGTGAGGTTAACCACCCACTTTCCTTCATTACTTCTTTCACTTGCTCTTTTCTTGAAAACGGATGTTCAGCGCTTCCTAGAAAACTAGACCCTCCACCTCTCTCCTTGCTTCCTCACCCTCATTATCTCTTGCTTTCCTTTGCCTGTCAATATTTTATACCTATATTTTTCCTCTGCTCTTTTTACCACCAGGCACATGCGTGAGATTCAGGCCCTCCACTCCCGCCAGAAGGAGGAAATTGACTGTCTCTTTACCAAGCTGGGAAAGGTAATTCACCTTGGTTACATCTGTGCAGACACTATAAATGGCATCACATGTAGTACGTAACAAGCAATGATTCTTCCTTTGGTCTTGGTGTAGGTTCCTCCAACTGCAGTGCTCCCTCCAGTTATAGCCTTGACTGGCAGAAGGAGACGACCTACCAAAAGCAAATCCTCTAAATCGTCCAGAACCAGCTCCACGCACAGCAGCAAGAGTCCGTTACAACCAGGTAGGCTCTTGTTTAAACATTTATGTTAAAGTGTTGGTTCACCCAAAGACCAAAGAAACATAATTTCTTACTTACTTCTAGCTAAGGCAGTGATTACTTTTATTTGTCCAGATATCCTTCTCTAAGATTTCTGCCTCCACCACAACACAACAGTGATGAATAGACTTTGCTCATAGTACTAAAAATAAACACGTAAAGAAATACAACAGCAACATTTCCTTTCAGAAACAATGTCTCGGTCACTGAAACCGATGTTAAAATGTAATTTGACCAAAAACAATGCTTAATTGCTAATTAGCAAATGTTAGCTTAACACATTAAACATTACCTGCTAAACATCAGCATGATAGCATTGGCATTGTGAGCATGTTAACATGTTGACGTTAGCATTTAGCTCAAGCACCGCTGTCCCTGCAGAAAGAACTGCCTCACATAGCATTCTAATTAAATTCTAATGCTAAATTAAATTCTTGAATGTTGTGAGAAACACAAATGAAATTCCATTCACTTCACCAAAACCTGGACAAATTTATCCAAAAATACAGCAAAGCATAGCTAGATACCACCACAGGAAGGAAATATGTCTTTTTTTTTTGTAATTTGATTGTACTGACCATTTAACCCTGCACCTCTAAACCACCAAAATATTCACCTTAATCTTAAGTCCACTACACTGCAATATGGTTGAAACTTTTACCCTAACGTTACACCATCTCTGTGTTTATGCATCCGTGTGTACATATGTGTGTGTGTGTGTTTATCTGCTTGGTTACACGTGCATGTGGGTGTACGCTGGAGCAGGCTCGGAGCTTGAACATTTCTGATTGCTTTCCCTGTCTGTCTTTCTGTGTGTGGTTGTGTGTGTGGGGGTGTCTATGTAAATGTCTGGGGTGACGGATATCTCATTTGTCCGTTATCTTTGTGTGTGTGTGTGTGTGTGTGTGTGTGCGTGTCTCTGTGGTGTGTCGTTCCTGCCCTGTCCTCTCCTGCCTATGCCTTATGCTATCCCCAGGCAGCACTTTATCCGCCCAGAGCGTCCCCACCATGTACCCCGGCCAGCTGGCTCTTTTAGCCCCAGGAGGATTAGCCGATTCGGGCAGCAGTACTCTGCTCCAGCCACTCAAACCCTCTCCCTCCAGCAACAACCTGTGTTCAGCCTACACCAGCGAGGCGGCGCTCTCTGTGCCCAGCCTATGTGCTCCCACCCCAGGTAGGCATGCCACTGTGAATCCCAGTTTGCAACAGGCCTCATCAGCTTCCCCACAACATAAGAAATACTTTGCATACAAACACAAATGCATGCAGTTGGTTTGTCTTCACTCCCTCACAACAAGACACTTGTTGACACATATTTTTCTGTCTTTCTCTATCTGTTTCTCTCTCTGTGTAAAGCAGTGTGATGGCTAACTGACTGTTACATTCTTTTTATTTCTTCACCTGTGTCTCTTTCCTTCCCTCTCATCTATACCGTTTCTATCTTTCTCTTGTTTATCTCTATTTCCTTCTTCCCTGTTTTTCTCTGTCCTATTATTGCTCTGCTCTCCTCTCATTGTCTCTCCCTTTTGTCTTCTTCACCTCTCCCTCTCTCTACATCTCCCTTCCTTTCTATGCACCTTTCTTGTTTCCTCATCTCTACTCTCATCTTTTTCCTTCCCTCCTCCCTCTCTTCAGGCTGTGTAAAGTTCAGCTGGGGTTCGGAGCGTTTGGCCTTCAAGCCTGGCAGCAGGAGGACGCGCTTTCTGAGTACGCCCTGCTTGGCTCTTTGTGTGTAACGCTTTATTTCTTTGCTCTTCTCTTTTTACCCCTCATCCTTACTTACTTCTGTTCTTATTTTTTTACTCCTGTATCTGTCAAGTCACGGTCGTCCTGTCTTCCCATGGTTTCCTTCTTTGATGGAGGAAGGCCTTCTGCTTCTGATATCACCAGTGTCCTGCAGAAAACTGGTGTCGCCAAAAAAGTCAGCTTTAGTAGAAAACCTTAATTCCCCCAGGCGAAAGCAGCTGAGCATGCAGGCTTATACTTTTGCTCACCTTCACACCTGTCCAACCCCTTCTCACTCTCAAGTCAACACATATGGACACATGGTCAAGACCCCTTGGTGTCAGTTTGTGCCGCACCGGGGGAAGTCCTATAGTGTAATTTTTGAACACTAAACATAGGTGTAGTATATAAATAACTGAAAATTCAGGGTAAGGAGGTGGTTGGGGTGGACAAAGAAACCGAACTTTCATCCAGGAGACTGGTGCTTGTTTCCTGTCTGAAATAAAAAGTGAACATTGATTGTTTTTAGTTAAGTTACTTAAGTAACATTACTTAACATATGTAACTTAACCAAACCATGATGTTTTCCTTATCCTAACCAAGTAGTTTTAGTGCCTAACCTAACCAGATTGCAATGTTTTGTTAACGACTAGTTTTATTTTAAATCGGACCGGATGTTATATATGTATTATTGCTAACTAGACCAGACGTTGCATATTAATTATTGCTAATGTTAATGTGACTGCTGAGCCCTGCATCCAAACACAACGCTAGAGGGGTCTTGACGAGTTGGGAATGAGAATGTGTTCACCTGAGAGCTTTCTCGCTGTAGCATGTAGGGGTATAAGTACCCAAAATGATGAGCCAAACTAACTTTCTAGCTAAAATCAGAGCCTTTAAACTAGGTTTGCTACCTTCTGTAGGTAAAAATAGCAGTTACCTGCTTATTACTCCTTATTTTAACTACTACCTTACAAGCATCCTTATTGTATATGTTGGAGAAAAACGGAAAATCAAAGATAAGAGCTTACTGCAGGACACAGAAAGTTAGCACAATGACACCCTAGAGCTTCTCATAGTCATCTTCACTTACTTTTTAATATTTTTCCCCAATCTTTTAGTCAGTTTTCTTTCTTTCTTTCTTTCTTTCTTTATTTTGACATAGTCTTCCAAACAAATCATCTCTTATCACATTCAGTGCCCACCTTTTGGCTGCACCAGCATTGTCAAAAATAAAATAATGGCATCATAATTGAAAGGAAGGACACAGCAAAGTGTTTACTGTCTAAAGTTATACTTTAAAAGGCTGGCATCAGAACAAATTGATCTGCCTTTTTCATTATTACCTGTTAGCTATCTAGAGGCCATGTGATATGTACCAGCCAAATCACAAATCACCAACTGTGATTCTATAACATAAAACATATTTACATAAACCAGCGCAATTAGTATTGCAGTGTAGTTGACTATTGCTAAAGAAATGCTTATCAAAAATGGTGTTTGGTTTCATGAAAAGCTATAGGATTATAATTTTAATGTCGTAGCCATTAGTGCAGTATAACCAGAACTGATTGCATAAACAAAAGTACTTGAGAAAGGGACTGGTTGACAGCAGTTAAAATGCACATGGATTGTGCCAGTAGCTTAATTATGCTGCACATTTACATTTTAGTCATTTAGCTAATGCTCCATGGCAACCTCCTAACAGTCAAATAAGCTTCTTTGATAAGTAGCATTGTAAGCAGCTGGCAGGATTACAGTCATACTGTACAACATACAGTCCATTTCATCTCTAGTCCTAATAAGTTAGAGATAGATGATACAGTTTTGTGTGTGTGTGTCAGTCTGAGTTACAAATCCTGACTGCTTCTGTTTCTAACCTTCGCCTCTGTAAAAACAAGCAGGCTAATTAGGAAAGACAGTTGAGACGACTGACGATTTGAGATTTCTGCCATACAGTTTTTTTGTTTTTATAAGGAAATGTAGTCTTTGTTTTAATTAAACTTGAGTAATTGCAATGACTGATTTATTTATTTAGTTTTTTATTTTTATTTAATTTTTTTCCGTGATAGAGAAATTGTTTTTCTCTAATCATATTATAATCATAATATGTAGCTTTAAATGTTTTTTGCTTATTGAAGGGATGTTGCTCTCTGAACCCTCTGCAGCTCAAACCCTTTTTCTCCCTCCCTTACTTCCCTCACTCCCTTTCCTTACACCCCTCTCTCGCACCTGTTCCCCTATTACTGCACTGCCAGGAGGGGAAAGAGACAGACCTGGGTCTTTCTTTTTATCATACCTTTACCGGACGAAAAGTGATGTAACATTGGCATTATGTTCATTTATGTAAATGACCTTTGATATTAGCCTGAAAGTAAGACTGAACTGCCAATTTCTTTCTATTTAATCGCTCAAATCAGAGATTTGTGCAGCAGTTCAGAGGTCTGGAAACTGGGTGTATATGTATATATGAATATCAATTTGGACCCAGTTCTGGTGTGTCCCTGTGAGCTGTAGAGAGGACAGAACCAGGGGTTGGTTACCCAGAAGCATCTTCAAGCCAAAGCAGACTGACAAGAGTTTGCGGCAGTGTGCAAGGACAGTTTAGTTTATTTTTAAACACAAGTATTATCTTCAGTCTTTGGCTTCCTTTGTCAGAAGAAAAAGCATATTTGCTCGTCGTTGATACAGATTGCAGCATTGTGACTTGACATCTGGGGTCAGCCTTTCTCATAGTGCAGAGAACAGAATTTACACCAGTTCTAACTTCACTGTCCAGGGTTTGACTCCCAGTGCACTGTGTGACAGGTACTGATCTCAGTGTTAAGATGTTACTGGGCAACTCAACCCCAAAGTGTTGACTACTTTGAAGTTCAGATAATCATAATCGAATGCATTGTGTTTGATTGTCGGGTGTTGTGGGCGGGGTTTAACTCTGACTCTCTCCCAATCCTCCAATCGTTGTCTTCCGGCCACACAGGGAAGATGGTGAAAAAAGTCTGCCCCTGCAACCAGCTCTGTAGTAACTATCTCTCTTTTTGGTCTTTCCTCCCTCCATCCATCCCCTCTACCATCCTTGCACTTGCCCCCCCTGCGCTTCCCCCTGCTCTTAAATGCCCTTTAGATTTAATCTGCCAGATTTGAGATCAGTTCAATTCAGTTATTTCGGCGACTGTGACTCACAGAAGCATTGTATTTTCAATTTTGATAGTAAAGGATCAAATAACACCCAGTTTAAAGACTGAAATGACTGAATTGACCAGCCATCACAGATTCAAACTGACAGTGCATGCACCCGCAAGCTCACACACACATTCACACACACTAACACACCTGAACAGCTATGAGTCACTCTGCCCCCCTCCCTTTCCTCTCCTCCCTCGTCATGTCTTGAGGTCTTGACTACATTGCCCAGAATTCCATGCTGCTGCAGTCAGTCACGACTCAGCGTCTCTTCATTCTTATTTTCCTCCATTTTATATAGCATGACATGACAGTTTTTGTGAACTGTATAATATAGTTTTTACTGGCTATTCTCTGCATATTGTGTCTCCTCTTGTGTAGAATCTGAAATGAACAGGTCATATAAACTGCTCGTTTTGTCAGCATGGCTTTGGGATCCCTTTTCCTACAAATGAAATGCTTCAGATTCTTGTACTTGTTACTATAGTCGGGATTTAAGGTATAGTAAAGGAATGATAATACAGAAAGAAAACTTGTTAATTCTGATGTTCTCTTTTACTGGTCTGAACGATATGATAAAACTCTGTATTTGTGAAAAATACACGCGCATATTGTCAGGGCCGTGTCTGCACTATCGGGGATCCAGATTTGATTGAAGTGTAGCCTTTAATTCTGAAATTTTGTGACAATATCTAAACCAGAGTGGTTGTAGCAAAGCACTGAGCTATTTTATAATCTTCCTCCTTTCACCTCTCAGCTTAGTTTCCTGTTGGCCTGGCAGAGGCATGAACATGAGGAAGTTCTATCTTGGAACATGCTATGATGATGGCACTGGTATTATAAAATAGCCAATGTTAACTTGAACAAAGGCTAGATGTTACAATAGCACAGCGCTTAACATAGATTGCAGACACCCTGGCCAGTTTGCAGTGTGTGCTCAATTTGCTCTGAAGTTGATGCTCAGGGTTGGCAAATGCAAACTACCAGCAGAGCTTGAGTGCCATCTAATGGTCAAAAAGTAAACCAAAACACAAGGCCAGTGGTACACGGGGCAACTGTGATCAACAGCACGACTGTCTCAGCACTACCTCTTTTGTTTTGGGGCATCTTGTGGGTGAATGCTGCTGGGCATGTCAGCTTAACTGGTTGCCCAGTGTATCACTAACCTGAATCACAGAGATTCTTGAGAGAACCTAGATTGACAATATTTAGTGATATATTCTGAAACAGGTTTAGTATTTGTCAGCAAAAGTGCCCATGTTCTGTTTCAAAAGGTTGCTCTATTGTCATAGTTTTCTCATGATCCCATCTGTCATCATTATTTCCACTATTACAACTTAAACATTTAATTCTATGACCATGTCGACATGCTGACTTACCCTAAAACTCTGTCCTGACCAGCCTCTGTCACGTAAAGTCCCTTTTCATAGTCAACACAGGGAGCGCTTTCTCATTCATTCAGATAACGTCAGTTAGCATTTCTAGTTTGAACAATGTCTCATGTCCTCCGTTCTCTCCGTCTCCCTCCACAGGGACTAACAGCACCAATGCCGTGAGTGGTTCAGGAGGTTTGGGTCACAGCCAGGGGGGTTCTCAATACCTGCCCCCCAACATGTCAACCCCCCACCAGAGGAAAGGAACCTTCACCGATGACCTTCATAAACTGGTGGACAACTGGGCCAGAGATGCCATGAACCTCTCACAGGTGACTCACCAGTTCCTGTATTTAGTTTACAAGACAAGAAGATGGATAAAGGGAAGGAACTAAACTCTAAATGGTAGTTTGTTAAAAGCCAAAGTGGTTGGTAGAGTAAACAAACCTCAGCCAAAACCGGCTGGCGTTTGGCTGATGATATGTTTGTCCTGTATCCATTTGGCACTGTGTGTGTGTTTACATTGACCAAAACATCAGCTAAGAAAAGAAAGGGAATGTAAATTAGTTTTGTGGAAGATTTCTGTTTAATTAAATAATGTGATAGTGAGACTTTTATAAAAAATTAGGGCTTCGAACATTCCTGAAGAACCATTTCTTTGTATTTTAGTAATTGGTTCTTGAGGTTTAGAAAGTAGCTGTTTTCAGTAATTATTCTTATGCAGTTTATAGTTGAATAATGTAATGTACAGGTGAGTAAATGTAACTAAATATGAAACTTTTTCAGGGGAAGAGGAGTGCCAAACAGTTGCAGCAGGCCCCAGCACAGGGACACAGCTATGAGGTTAGTTTAAAAATATACCACATCACATCATGATCAGCTCATCCAGTGCTTCTATGATGAAATAATATCAAGTGGCCCCAGGTGTCTCAATTAGTAATTTCATTAAGTACAGTTTTATTTTGGAACATGCACCACAGGAGCCCAATATTGACTAAAATGATAAAAGTCTTTAAAACTAAATTTCACACTTGATCTCTCAGGACAGGACTTCAGATTGAGCTAATAATCCAGTAGATGCCCAATTTGATGGTGCAAATTCTTGAACAAACTTGCAAATGATAAAATCACAAAAATCAAGTGATATCTACTAAATTAAGTGTCTGCATGAATAAACTTTTAAACTCTTTCTTCACGTGAAATCTCCACCTCAGGTTATCCAGTCAGCCAGTCTGAGTAGGAAGTACTCTGCTCCCAGCCAGCTGTGTACCAGCAGCATTGGAGGTTCAGCCCACCTCCCTACTAACGCCACCACCGCTACCTCTATGGCCACTCGCAAGGGCTCCCTGTGCCACCCCCCTGTCTCCTCCACTCCATCTCAACCCCAACCTCCCCAGTTCATCAACTACACCCCAACCGCTGCCTACAGCGCACAATGGTCCGGTCCGGCTCACGGCCTGTCGACCCCACACCAGGGCCCAGCACAGCCTGGGCCTCTGCTGGTCAGTACCTCCCAGCCCCTGGGTCCCTACCCCACCACGGTTGGTGGACAGGGCCAGATTTCCGGGCAGGGGCCGCTCCAGGCTTTCCATCTGACCAACACTCTGCAAAAGTCGGTCAGCAACCCAGGAGGACCCAACCTGAGGACCACGTAGGGCTGGGGGTGAGGGCTGGTTTGAATCACGGCCCGACTGGACTGGACAGGTGTGGAACAGAGTGTTACTTGGGCTTGATTGGCCGGAGAGGATGGAAGAACTGCAGAAGCGTGGTGAGCAAGGAGTTTGAAGTGACAGAAGCTGACCTGTTCAAGAGGAGAAAAGAAAAATGGAAAGGAAGAGGAGAGAAGAAATCAGGAATGCGATGTGGCCATCTCCACAGTTCACATAACCTCCCCCTCTGCTGTGTTTGACTGTGGGCTTGTAACAGCTGGCCAAATGCTCAAGGATAATGGAAAAGACTCATGAGTGCAATGTTAAAAGGCCAAAGAGGTTGTGACAGGATGTGGGATTGGTGTTAATAACTGTTTGTGTGTAAGGCATTGTGCATAGGCACGCTCACATTTGTTCCTCTTCAATTTTTAAATTGATGAACAACTCTAGGTCACACCATCACCCTTGTGAGATAGTAGAGGGGAGATGTTATATCAGGTTGAGTGCGGGGGGGTTCACACAGCACCTCTTAAAAGCGTATAATGCTGAAGCTTAAAGTATTTCTAACTTTTAGCTCTCGGACTGAGTATTAATCCTTAAGTTCTCATCGAAGACAGAAACATGCAACAATGCAGTTTTCCCAAATTTAATACAGAAAAGACTTTGGCATTCTTTAAAGAAGTAACTGGTGGATACAGAGGAGAGCATGGATGGCCATCGCGTTAGGGTTGTCTTTCTTAGTGGTCATTGTCAACATCAAATGATGCACAAGAGGGCTGTATCACTCTGAAAGCAAGCAGTTTATCTTAAGTTCAGGAATCGTTTTTTTCTTCAGTATTCAGAATTTGAAAATTTTCATTCAAAGCACAAAACAATCCGAAACAAATAATACGCACATTGAGAATTTGAACGGCTGCAGCTGAGCTGACCTCGAGCGTGGTTTAGAGTAGGTATTGTCCAGCACTTGGCGGAGTTTTGACTCGTCAGCTTGAGAAAATTTCTGACTTCTGCGACCTGTGTCTTGTTCCTCCCTTGTTCTGACAAAGCATTCAAACAGATGGAGAGAGATGGAGGAGAGAAACTAGATGAAGAGGGAGGGGAAGCATGAGTGTTTATGTTAAATAACAGTCAAACACCTCATCTGTTTCATGTTCCACTGCTTATTTTAGGAACATACTGGCTGTGTGCACCACTGCTACAGTGCTGAATGCACATTGACAGATGCTTCTAAACACCAAACACCTCTTCATCATCACGACTCCACCTCTTCCTCCATTCCTCTCTCCGCCTCTCTGTTGCCATTTGAAGCAATAACAGCAGAAACCTTTCAGAGGGGGGGATAAAAACCCAAACATGAGAGAACTCACCGGAAATAAGTGGCCTTGTTATCAGAATAATATAGAGTCCCTGTACAGTTTGTGTCTCCGTTTATTTTTTAGAATGTCAGCTATGATGATTCCATTTTGTTGTTTTATTATGATTTTGTTTTGGTGGTTTTGTTTTGCTTGCTGCCCCCAGCAAGCACACTCTCTCACTCACACACACACACACACACACAGAGTGCATGAGACATTCATTTAAATACACATGCCTACATACACACACAGTCATGCACAGACTTATGTAAATACACGCGCATTGTTGGACGCGTAGCAGATGTTTGACATAGTTTCAGAGACTAATGCCTTAGTTCTTAGTTTCATCATGAGGTTGGTTTCAACAATTGTGTTGAAATGATTGCAATGTACATTATTGTCATAATTATTGTTGTTAATGATTATTGTTCTATTTAAAAAGAAACAAAAACAAGAACATGTTCTGTCGATGGACCTGTTATATGCGCACATCAGTGTACGATGTGGAAACACTGTGATTACTGTTGTTTATTATTAGCAAATGTTGTTGGACAACATTAGTTTTAGGGTGAAATGTCAGAAATTAAAAACAAAAGCATACAGAGAACGGTTTGGGGTCCTTTCACTTTCAATTCACTGCTTACAGCAAATGGATTCTCAACAAAATGTGAAAATTTAAAATCCCTCTTTTCAATAACTGTCCTCGCAATCACTTACTGAGGATGTGATCCAAAACAAATGCCTTACTAACAACTAATCGACTGCAGTTTTAGTTCATCTTTAGAACTGATTGAATTGAAAGTCGAAACTGACATCCAAGCCCAATTATAAAGACAAACCGGGGTGAATGGCAGGATAGATATTTAGATAATAAAGTAATGCTAGCTATTTTTTTCTTAATACAGTTCTTGTATATCAGACACTTTAAATAGCCCTCCTCTTCCCTTTCTCCCTGGTTTTGTTAGATGAATGTGAATGTATAAACCAATGGTGTCCATTTTAATGTACTTGAAAAAAAGGTCTGTCTTTTATTTTCACTTCGTTTCTTTTGCTTTCCCCCTCTCCCTAGAGCCTCTGGTTAATACTGGAGGTACTTACTAGTGCCTTGCATCCTTCCTGTTGCTTGTTTCGTTGTGGGGATTGAGGACTTGGGTTAAAGTAAGCACAGTTGACAGCAGATGTGGAGAGTTTTGGGTGGTGTCACTTTGAAGTCAGTGGTGATGATGGTGGTGACTGGACTTGGTGTTAGTGGAGAAGGCATGCAGTATTTTTGGTCGAGATGCAGTAATAATAGTTGTTTTAGTTGTCAGCTGCTGCTGTGTGCGCTACAGCTGGTTTCTGGTTAGTTCTCCTTGATTTCAGCTAATTGAGAGTGTATTTTCCCCAGGTTGGATTTAAAAAATGAAAATAACTGTTAACAAGACAAACTTAGCTGAGAATTGATAGAAAGATGAATTGACCTTAACTCTGCTGCCATTTAAGCCAATGAGATTGACCACTTAAGATTGAAAAAGGCACCATTTGAAGTCAGTGCTGTTTCTGGGAGGTGACTCCCATTGCTGTGCTTTACATACACGTGAGGTTACACCACAACATTATGAAAGATGAGCCGAACATTAGTCTATCATTGCCTTTTTTTTTTTTCTCTCCAGTATTTAAAATGTAGATATTGGGGGATATTTTTCTGGTTTTAAGAAGGGAGTTACTGAATATTGTATTTGGACCACTCTACTTCAGAGGCACTGGCCCAGGTGCAGGATGCTTTCAGTAGAGGACACATTGGTACAGCGAACAAAAGTTATTGTCTTTTAATGTTCTTTTAATTACAAAAACAAATGATGATGCTATGACCTCTGGATTAAAAAACATCTCCTGCCCTGGTTATGAGCACAATTTGATTATTATTCAGTGAATAGTGAGTGCAGACATTTGCCACAGAGAAACAGCGCACTCTGTTTTGTTTTGCTGAAAGTACTATATAAGGCACATCTTCTATATACTTTACATGGATTTGCAGTCAAATGACCACAACGTAGTGAAACGGCAGCCTCAAACTGAGCAGAGTGACTATAGAGCCATGACCACATGCCCAAAAAAATAATTACCATGAAGTAATTATGCAATTACAGACTTTAAAGGCCCTGAAAACTTTATAAATATTTTAGATATATCATATTGGTAGTAACTTTTTCCCACTGAGCCCCACCCACTTCAAATCAACGAAGAAATACAGAAATCTCTGATGTACAATAACCAAAGCTGTCCAAACTTTGGCATAAAATAGTGTTTTCTTGTAGGGACCCATCACTCGTAGAAAGAAGAAAATATTTTTTCAGGGCCTTTAAGTGTTAACAGCAGCGTAAAATAAAAAGTATTAAGAATCAAAGAACATAGGCTGCGAATGCTTACAGCATTACAGCAATATACAGACTCCAAAGATGCATATTATAGAATTTGATTGATTTTGGATCGCTTGTAAGTCATTGGCTAATCTTCCAAGAGTCCACAAACTCCACATTATAGGAGCCATCTTGCCCCTTAAGTCTAGCCCATTGTTGTCCAATTTTATTTTGCTATCTAACCTTTTTATAATCAAAAAGCCATTACGAGGCCAGCCGAACTCTACTGTCTTTTTAACAGATTTGGCTGGGAATGCCGCCTCCTCTGAGAATTGCTGCTATCGGACAAAAATAAATAAATTCTGCTAAAGGTATGAAAACTGTCTCATCCTCTCCTATTCCCACTGTATGTATCCGAAGCTGCACCATTGGGGTTTAACAGCATTTAATAGTCACAGAAATCACTATGTAAACCAAAAATTAAAAAAATAGATATTTTAACATAAGGGCATCAGACTGCTGGAGGTGTTGGTGGTGGTGATAACGGCAGTGGTGGTTAAAATGACTGTGAGCACAGTGGTGGTTATGATGATTGTACTGGTGATGATGGGGGTTATGATGATGAAAGTAATGTTGATAATGGACTTATGGTGGTTTTGGATTCAAGGCTTTGACACCCTGTCCTCTTTTCTTTCTCATATCTGGTACAAACTTTGACATTCACTTAAAAATGTCTTCTTATTTTTTGCTTAGAATGGGTGTTCTGGATTCACATAAAAACACAAAAAGGTAACGCGTGTGTAACGTTTGTACAAAAACCCTGATTGCTTTTGCCTCTTTTAAGAGAGATTTTCCATTTCTCATGAATAATAATGCAACATTTTTTTTACTACTTGGCAAGTTTGGTTGAAGCTGTGAATAATCATTGAGCCACTTTGCTTAAGTTCTGGTTATGATCATTCTGTTTATCATGATCTGTTAAAAGAAGTCAAACCTTTAATGATGCCACCAACTCAGTGCCATTTGATGTTTTGTCAATGGAGTGGAAACATCAGAGATAAAGAATTAAAAGAGAAAATTTAGTGTATTTACCTGCTTTTACTCACTGGAGCTGTTACATTTGCCAGGTAACAACCTGGATTTTCACTTTGCCATTGCTCGAGCCTCGGATGATTTCCACTGTAGGAGTTTGATAACATTTTGCTGTGTCTCCACTTAGGCTACTTTCAATGGATTGCAATGCAATATTATTTAATGTTACAGTATGCTATCAAGCTCTGAGGTTGCATGCTGTAGGGCTCTTACTTTATTAAAGCTCTGGAGTTAAACTAGGGTGCAATTATTTTAAAGAGTTGGAGTGGAGAACTCTTACTGTGAAAGGCTTGAGAGTTATCTAGTGTGCAGGCACTCTTATTGTGAAGTTACCTGAGGTTCAAGTAGGATTCTCTTTCTGGTGACACACTTACAGTGTAGCAATAGATGTTTTTAACTCGCTTGCATTAGATTCAGTTTCTGTTTTGACAGTTTCAGGACTCGCTAACCTTTTTATGCTTTTTACTGTAGAAGTGCCCACATGTAATATATAAAAATGCCTTTCAGTGCACCAACAGATCAACACACACACATACAGATTCATTCAGTTCAATTCTACTTGCTATTTCGTGTAGCTTGCTCCTGTGGAATTATGTCGAGTCTCGAGCACAGCAACAGTTTCTACAGACTGTTTGTCTCAACGTTTTAATTATGTTTTTGGTCTCACTGATGCTTTCATGTTTTATTTTTTATTTCTCACTTGTTTTATCAGCAGTTTTAATGTCTGTAGCGGCACCTAACTAAATTCAGTGTTTTCATTTTTCTGTATCGTGTTTGACATTGTACAAAGTTATTGGATTAAAAACATACAAGGATAAATGAATGAAAGAGAAAGCAAAATAAAATACATGTAGGGAGTCATCGGCAGCCTTTAAAGGTATGTTTTGCACTAAGTATAGAGTGTTCAAGCTTCATATTAAAAAAACCTTGCGCTTTGCGCTACAATACAATGAACTTTGTTACTTTATTTGTAAAAACTTAATAAATAAAAGTTGTTCAAATGAATTGGGGAGACTGGACTTTAAATTATATAAAGATAGGAATTATGTGTTATCATGTCTCTCTGCTGTTAATGATTTGTGGATATTAAAACATAATCTATGTAACAGGCCTTTGGGTCACCATGAACCAGAACATAAAAGATAGACAACGACATGGACACAGTCAAAGTTGTAAGATACTCTGCATTTGAAATGTGTTTGAAGACTTTTCAAGACCTTTCATTTTAACCGTTTAATTTGATAAAAACTGCCAGTCATAAAATGGCATTAAACACAGGAAGGAACACAGGAAATATAAAAAAGAAAAACAGGATTTTAAAAGAATAAAATAACAGAAGAAAAAAATAAGCTATGATAGAAAAATTCTGATTAAACCCCAGGTTTAATTGAATTAACAGGCAGTGGCAAATGTTTTAATGCTTCAACCGATTCACTAAGCATGTTTGTAGAAAAATCTTACAAAGAGCCTCTGAATCTGCATAAAAAAAAATGCTTAGCTTTTAAAAATTTCACTAAAAATATGCCAAATACCACAAATGTTTATGCCACTGGCATACTTTAACCAAGTGGTAGAAATGGCTCAGTCAGACTGAGTTGAGTACAAAAGATTTTTCACTCCCTTAAAATAATTTTGTCAGCATTTTTTTCTAGACCTGATGCAGTATCAGAATAACTAACCTTTGCCCCAAATGTAAAACATCACCCCATCATATCACAATATGGTCAGGTTTGTCTTTTCTCTGAGCAAAATTAAGACTCAACAAAGAGGTTCCCTTTTGTTGCAGTACCCGTCCTCTCCACACGGTGGCAGAACTAACCTTGATTCATTATATAACCTGTATCCATCCATTGTCAACCGCGTATCCTGCGTACAGGGTCGCGGGGCTGGAGCCAATCCCAGCTGACATCGGGCGAAAGGCGGGGTACACCCTGGACAGGTCGCCAGTCCATTGCAGTGTATAACCTGGATTTACTGTATAAATTGGTCTCCTTCCTGTTTTCCACACCATATTAAACAGCTTCTTGCTTCAATGCCAATCAGGAAAACAGCTCGTTGTGAGGTGTGAATCCGTGCTTAATATCTGTCACCTTGGATACAAAGAAAATGATATGGTCAGCCCAGAGGAAAAAGAGAGGCTTGAGGAAGGAAGGGAGGAAGGAATATGAGACTTACCGGTACATTATAACAATACATTTCCATCGTGCAGTTTTCCTGCTATGACATGAATACTGCACTGCAAAAAAAGCACACTTTGAGATTGGGATTTTAATCTGCATTGAGCTTTAAAAAAAACCAAACAAACAAACAAACAAAAAAAAAAAATATATATATATATACACACACACAGTATGCTCCTAAAAATGTCTTTGCTCTAAATGTTTTTATTTTGAGGACACTTTTACTAGTCCCAGCTGTAAATAGCAGGAAGTCATTTAGAACTTAATGGCGTGTAATCAGCTTGATAAGCCTGAATATAAAACTCAGTATTTAATTTTTTACAGAGTAGGGCTTTTGGTTTACAGGCTACTGTGAACCACTGCAAATGCAGTGTTTGCAGGTGAACTCGCACAAGATGCAGAGGTATTATACTGATACTGATTCTGTAAGAACTAAAGGTCACATTCTCCTTTCAACACAGATCTCCCACACATATTTGGCTTCTTTAAATTTTTGTAAGTGCAAATTATATTTTCTTACATGTGTGAACTTTTCCAAGAGGCAGATCACCACATGCTGGTACATTTTGACTGTGACTACAACCGATAATAGTATGATGCTTTTCTGATTCATGTATTGATATTCCTTTTGTGATTCCTAGTTTTGCAGGACAACTGCAAACATTTAGGGGTCCTGTTTGACTGGGGAATTTTGGCAGTTAGCTTACACTGTGGTCCAAGGACAAGAATGATCTTGCTTACACCAGAATCAGAGGTGAATAACTAAGTAACAGCAGTCAGTCCAAGCACTGCTGAGCACTTAATGGAGCATTGAAGACAAAGAAGAAATCAGCAGTGGTCTATTCATTGACATGTAAGATTGCTGTTGAAACCACATGAATGTGGGAATTAAAAAAGTTATTGTTTTTTAAGTTAAAGAGGAGAGCAGAGATGAATGAATAAACAGGATGCAAATGAATCTAAAAAAAAATCAGCTTAAATATTTTTTATGTGTGTGCACAGTATGTGTCGCCTCCATCTATTCATCCTTCTGTCGTGACCAATTTGTAGACTTACATGATAGTGGCCTTTTTTTTTCTATGGCAGAATGAAATGAAAGACGGAGGGGCGAGAAATGGTGGTGAGGGATTCTGAGAAAGATGGGGGGGGGGGGGGTCTTCAGATGTCATTGTGTGGGAGAAAGGGACAAATGTACAGACTGCAGAGGGAAAGAAAAGCTAGTTCTGTGCTTCAGTTTATGTAACACAAATAAGCTGTACAAACCATTTCATGGTTTCCATTTCTGTATGTAAAGAATGAGTGAATATGACATTCAGAAAATTTCAAAAAAGGCAGAAAATTATAAGCCTTGAGTTGGATCTTTTGCCTCCTATTCATGTTTTAAAATGTCTTTGTAACTGACTTGAGCCCAGTTGCCACATGTACAGCATATTAGCATTAGTAAGTCACATTACTTTTGGAGTACGTTTTGAATTACCATAGAAACATAAAACACTGGCTGAGAAGATTGGTATCCTTTAGCGGATTCCACACTGTAGGCCGGAGACGTGTGTTGCAACAATGACACAACCTGAAACTGCATGTTGTCACCAGTAATCACCAGTCAACCGCCACAACACTCTAATTCTGTCAAATGGTCTACTGAACAAATATTAAACGGTAAGAATCACACTGAAACGACAAGCTTTTTTATGTAGTAAGTGTTAACTGAAGAAAAAAGCCCCCCATACAACAAGTCTACAGCCATGATAGCGGTTGGGTTAAGCTATACTAAATGGAAATGCCAGCATGCTAACATTCTTACAATGCTGATCTTATGCAGGTCTGTTTAGCATGTTGGGATGCTAAACATTTTGTTAATTAGCACTAAACACAAGGATTGTGTTCCATATTCTTGTGTATCTAAGTAGTTATTTTATGCACTTTTCTTATGACAAGCAAGCTTTTGTTAAAATATAACTGTTTATGATGTGACCTATCTGAGTAGCAGGTGTACCATGGGGACCACAGGTAACAAGTCAGCATGAGCATCGTTAGTTTTTACACAGTGCAACCAGGTCAAACATTGGAGACCCTGCAGTTTTACAGCACAAAACAGGAAGTGGTCTTGAAGCAGTTAATGGTTTTCAGACTTTCTCACAATGTTGGATGACAGAGCAAATAAAAGCAACAGCAGATTAAATGACTTCCTTTTCAGTAAAGTAAACAGAAATGTAGAATAAATTTGACAATGATATACAATAATAATTATTTGTATAGCACTTTTCAAAACCAAGTTACAAGGTTCTATGCAGTAGAAACAAACTTAAATACTTAAAATAAAAGTAATTGATAATCAACAATAAATAATACAACAACAACAGCAATAATACAATGTTTATAAAAACACCATTCCATAAAAATGAGACTTAAGAAGAGATTTAAAAGAGGCCAGTGAGTTTGCCTGCATGAGATGGCAGGGAGTTCCACAGCTGAGGGGCCCAAACAGCAAAAGCCTGCTCACCTTTAGTGACAAGACGAGACTTTGGTAGAGCCCTGTCGGAAGATCCAGCTTGTAGGGAGTTATCAAATCACAGTTGCAAGCAGGAGCCTGACCGTTCAGGGCTTTAAAAAACAAGTAGTAAAATCTTAAAATCTAAAACTCACAGGTAACCAGTGAATGGCAGCAAGAATTGGTGTGATGTGGTCACTCCTCTTAGTGCGAGTTAGAAGCCTGGCTGCAGCATTTTAAATGAGTTGCAGTCTATGAATCTTTCCCTTACTAATACCAGTATATACAATACAACAATGCAGAGCATTGGAATAATCAAGTCTTGAGAAGAGAAAGGCACGGATGACCTTCTCTAAGTCAGCAGAGGAATGGAATGACCTGATCTTTATCAGATTATTTATATCACTGTTTAAAAGGTACAATGTGTAAGATTTGACCAACATTTTTCTGTAAAACATAAAAAAATGAACTGACATGATCAATAGAATGCAAAGAAGTAACAGCTCTGACATATTGTCAAAGACATCTTTGTGATGTGTTGCAGAAATATCTGTTGAAGTTAGCATGTTAACCCGCTAGCCCCAGTGTGTGTGTCTGTGTTGCAATACCACTTGTGCCTTGAGATGCGATAGAGAGTCAATGTAGCGTCCAGTTTGACCTCTGTCCAATGTGAAAGGACAAATGATGCTTTCCCTCTCTTTCCACGACCTCACTTTCCTCTACTTTTTTGTCTCATGCCACCACCTGAACTTCCCAGTCTCGGACTGGGCAGACTGGTTCTGAAATTGTCATTGTATGGGGACACACAGGTGGTGGAAGCACAGTACTTGATACTGATTGTGATAAATTAAATATGTGTGCTTGCCAATCCTTTTGGTTTCTCTGCCCTTCTCCCCACTGTTCACCTGGAGTGTCAGTTCCCCTGATGAACTATTAAAATCTGCCAATACAACATAATTATTAGAAATGATATCACTGCTGTTTGTTGTTGGGTTTTTTAAATTACATCCTTATTCCACATAGTTCTCTGTTGTGTCTAAACAGTGGCAGAGAGGAGCAGACACACACAGGCAGTCTGAACTGGTTGTTATTGCAATGGTGGGACAAACCACTGATTGTTCTAAAAAAAAAAAGAAAAAAAAAATATATATATATATATAAACATTGATAAATACGTAATAGATAACCTTTTTAGCTGAGTAGGTTTCCATATGGACTCTGTATGTATATATGTGTGTGTGTAATCTGTCTCTAATAGTTTGTATAGTTTTAAAATGATCAATCCTATATGCCCCTAAAATGTAATCAGTGGCTTCTATACCCAATTCCCATAT